TTAGTAATCATTGAAAGAGTCGATTTCCAAACTATGGAAACATAGGAAAGTCATAGAACACCACCAAGAAAAAGAAATAGAAACAATGTGTTTTTTTTTTTATATTTATAATCCTTATTAAGGACAACCTAATGCGGGTATGAGTAAGGCTATTTGTAGAAAATACTAAAAAACAAGATCCGCTTTTGAAAAATGATAAGATATTTACAAGAAATGTTGATTATATCGATCTGTTATGTACATATTGAGTATTCCATAATCTTTGAGTCAAATCTTTTAAAGTCATCAAAAATTATGACGGTTATTCGTTTAAAATAACGCCTGTAATACTTAGCAATTGCTCGATTTCGAGCAACACGGACACTAGTATGAGTAAATAAACAGTTTATTATTTTTCCACCTTCGTTTGATTAACATTCCTCAGACCTCTCTGTACAAAGATTGGTAAGTAATTCAGCTGAATCATCTGTTCAAACACCTGACTAGAGAGTTCCATCAGTCTGTTCTCAAGTGATGCAAACGCGAGAAGATACCCGTGTTTCGTCACAGCTACCTGAGAATAACCACTTGTTACTTCTCCTTGTAGGGAGGCATAACGATCATCGCCAATATTCATCCAAGACTGTTAACGTGCTGTTGCGTGCAAGGCTGATTGGCAAACAAGAATGCTTCAACGGCTGTAGTATCGACGGACACCGAGACTTCTCAATGTGTTCCAGAAGTGTTCGTTTTACAACTATATTCAATACCAGGCTTAATAGAGGATTCTGTTTGTGAGAGGGGTGTGCTGCTTAGTGGTTAGTTTTGGACTTTGTGTAGACGGGATGACTTCGCTCCCCGGCATATTACAGATGCAGGGGCTTGGCCAGATTTGTGCTCTTATGAAATGCCAATAACGTCGGGAAGAGAAAAAGGCACTTTTCAGACACTTATAGTTGAGACAAAATTCAACAGACTACTGAATTGATCAGTAACCAGATCAGATTGTACCTTTGATTAAGCAATTGAACCGAAATACACACGGACAACTATTGATTTTATTTTGCGATACTGGATACTCAAATGTATTGTAAATACCAAATTTTTACGAATCGCAGACCAACTATGTGCTCACTGAACACTTAAAACGTGTTCCGTTTAGTTTTGTACATTTAATTAATACCGACCTCCGGCGTCTCACGAAAATTTGTTCGTAAGTGTTTCAAAGATTTAAATCATAAATCATATCATGAATCAGGTTATTTACCCTTTGGGCGTACAATAACGATTGTAAGGTCCATTCGAAATTTCCTGTTGTCATCTGTTTATCTGTAGTAGACTACACCGGGTTTGCGCGAATTATGTAGAAAATTTTCATTCGATTTTGTTCGCAAATTCTAACTGAAAACAACTAGCGAATGTTGCATTGAAACAGTCCATTCATTAATAACCGCCATAAGGGTTTCATTAACAGAGAAGGTCACGAGTTAATGACGTCACACGTGAAAGTGTGGGAGAACAAAACTGTTCCGCTTCATCAGTGTCCGTCTGTCTGTCTGGGCGGCTGATTGAGCTTCTTCGGCGTGCTGAGCCATGATACCGAGCCACGCATCAAGCACGTCGTGCGAGCTCCACGCATTGTTGTCGAACACTGAGCGACGGGGCGTCATAGTACGAGTATTCACATAGCGTATAATGGCGGAGTGAAAACCCAAAGAATATTAGACTTAGTGTTTTGGGGAATGATTAGTTGAAAACAGACTACCCCCACCGGCGATTTTTTGTAAATAAGAGTGGTGAGATTTTTGACATCGTTGGTAGAGTTATAAGTTGAGTCTGTTACGTAAATCACAAACGTAAATAATATTTTGAGATTCAAACAAATAACTGTGGACTTGAAAATTCGTTGATGTTAGGTGTCATTGGTGTTATTAATCTCAGCCCAGCAAAAATTTTATCAGTGAACCACATCTAACGTCGCAGATGACGTCAGAAACAGCGATGGCCTGATGGCCACTAAAACCGACCACTATAACCTTTGACAATAGTCAATGCTAACCGACGCAATTAAGAGATGATGGCTAAAACAACTTGCATAATTATATTTGATTATTGATCTAAATCCTATTTTAACAGCTTGACTCCGCTACATCCCCCACAGCCACGGGTATTGCAGCGATCGTCATTGTGAAGCTGGATGGTGTAATTATAGTATAATCGAACATTTGGCAACGCAAATACCGATCACTGTGGCTGTGGGAACGTTCCCGCCAAATGTCAAGGGCAGTCAGAGGTCGCGTGTCCAAGTTAGGTTCATCTCTTCTTCTACCTCTCTCCCGATTTAAGATAACTTCCGGTTACGATTTATCGGTTGTGTAATCGCGGTGCTTGCGTTGCTTTCTAATTATGTAAATATCGGTAGTCCGTCTCCGCGGCGCATCTGTCGGGCGTGCGCAATACACTCTGGTGAAGCGCATGCGCGATGCGCCCGAGGTTAGGTTAGAGGTTAGATTAGGATATGCACACCAGATTGGCTGTTGCAAGAGAAAGCATGCGCTCAAACTGTCCTTCAAATAACTTTTGTTCACCCCAATTTGGATAAATAGTAACTGAGGCTTGCTGTGAGTCCATGGAAATTGTTAAGCTTACTATAATAAGAAATTATAAATCCAATCATAGGCATCCAGAGTAGTTAGGACAAAGCAGTTTAGGTGGTCATTAATATGAACAAAATCATTACAAATACCATATTGGAATAGAGTTCACATTGGTTACTTAAATCACAGAAAACGTACTACTAGTATGTTTTCTGTGCTCAAATGGAGATTAAAATTGTATCCATTGCATCAATTAATTAAAACCACAATTTCAGAATATATACCTATATATTTCAGTGTATATTTTTTCCGTGTCATTGGCAACCTTATTTTTTAAGGCAGATGTGTTTATTTTTATAAATAAATTCTTTTCTTCTTTAAAAGTAGAATGAATGTCTGAGGAAATTCAATATACAGGGTGATTTGTACTCAGTGTGACAAAATTTTTTTGGTGTAAGTACAAAGTAAATGAAGTGTGATGATGCATATTAAATGTTCCAAGTCTAAAAATTAGCTTCCCAAAAAATTATTTTATGTTTTTCAAAAATAACCATGCTTTTAAACCAAATACAGCGATTCCTCAATTACCTGTATATGGATTTGAGTAGATAATGTAATTTTCGTGTTCTACATTAAATTTTGAACAAGAATAATAGAAAATGACGGAGGATCAGTTGTAAAAACTCCATTATAAATAGATTCAAAGATAAAAATTAAGATGTTTGATAAAAATTTTAAAAACAATGGTCTATTGCATTTTTCACACCCTGTATACAAGAAAGGGTCGGAATATGTTAAAAACTGCGCCATTTTATAAGCTTTCTAACGATATGCTACACTATTGAGGTTTATGTCTGTTTATGTACGCTTTAATGGTTTGAAGACTACAAAACATGGTGTCTTTAACATTTAAAACATAGAAAGTCGGCATATATTAAGCAAAAGTTGTATTTTTGATTCAGCTTGAACAGTAAAAACAGTAAAAAAGTTCCCTGTTTTCTGGTATTCAAATCACTAAACCAAACAAAAATATATCTAAACCTCAATAGTGTAGCATATGGTTGGAAAGCTTATAAAATGGCGCAGTTTTTAACATATTCCGACACTTTCTTGTATACAGGGTGTGAAAAATGCAATAGACCATTGTTTTTAAAATGTTTATCAAATATCTTAATTTTTATCTTTGAATCTATTTACAATGGAGTTTTAAAATGTTTATCAAATATCTTAATTTTTATCTTTGAATCTATTTACAATGGAGTTTTTACAACTGATCCTCCGTCATTTTCCATTATTCTTGTTCAAAATTTAATGTAGAACACGAAAATCCATATACAGGTAATTGAGAAATCGCTGTATTAAGTTTAAAAGCATGGTTATTTTTCAAAAACATAAAATAATTTTTTGGGACGCTAAATTTGAGACTTGGAACATTTGATATGCATCATCACACTTCATTTACTTTGTACTTACATAAAAAAATTTTGTCACACTGAGTACAAATCACCCTGTATTTTGAATGATAGGAAGTTTGGAATATAAAAGAGTTTGAATTTTAGAGGGAAGAAAAAAATTTGAATTATGGAGGTAGCAGTTTTAAGTGTAGAGAGTTTGAGAGAACAGAGACATCAATAAGAGTGTTAGTTCATGTTTCAACAGGCGCATTTTTGTCCTGAATTCGAATTACAGAGGCTTTACGGTAACGCAGTTTGAATTATTGAGGTCGACTTCAGATTTTGGAGGTAACAGTTTGAATCACGGCAACAAAATTTGAATTGTAGAGGCTCCAGTAGGCCTATATGCAAATTCAAATTGTAGAGGCTGCATTAAGCGTAAAAATCACTTTGAATTATGAGTATGTTATTTTTAGATTTTTAGAGGTTTTCTGAGGGAAAAAACAAACACGACTAAATTATAGAGATTTTCGAATTATTGAGGTTTGAATTAGTGAGGAAACTGTAGTTTGCAACAAAAATGATTTATTTACCTTCTAGGTGAAAATATAAATATTCTGGTTGAATTTTTTGTTTCTCATGAATTTCAAATTTTGCAAACTGTCATACTAGTCCGTCCATGACGTTAAATAAGGCACATGGACAGGCACTAACAAGAAAGGATTGTATGTACTAGACCAAGTTTTTTTACACATTCAGTTTTTGTGGGCTTTGTCGCGAGGGTGTGCTTTTTTAGTGAAAACACATCTGTGTAAAAACAAAGCCATGAACACAAAAATCTTATATGGCCATATTATAACTTCAAACAAAGTGTTCAAATGGGTCCTGTAAACATGTAAAAAACTTTTTATATTTTGAAAAGGTTAACTATCTAAAATGCAAACCCACATCTATTCCTGAAGACTTGCATCAAAGAGGCACTTACTACATAGAATTAACTGTATGTTGTGTGTCAAGAAAAGCAAAAATATAACAATAGATATTTTTTATTAAACATCATTATATAAACTGTACAAAATACAAACATATCTTTGAGGCAATTTAGTAATTTGTTTAAGGCAACACGTTTAATTATACCCAACACAAAGATTGGATTAATATAATAGGCCTACTATATTTCATCACTAGGGCCTAAAGTGACTCTTTTTTCAACGTGAGTTTTTTTAGGCAAATAAGCCGAGGTCGGAAAATGAGCGAGGGTTTAAGAGATACTTTTTGCCCGTGTGATGAACTATATTTATCGTCATATCGCACCATTATTTCATCAAACTAAGTTACAAAACTGAAATAGTTTTTATTTAAATATAACCTATGAAAACTACTTCTAGCTTGTTTTCCATTTAATTTGCTAATGGAAACAATCAGCTGTTTAGTAAGTGATTCAATCGTTTTGTCTATTACGATTATGTTAGAGTACATTATACTATCGATATGTTGAACTATTTATACAATAAGGCAACAATAAGCTACAATCAAAATTTACAACAAAGTCGACATCAGCTGACTTTTACTCCCTAGGGGCTAAAATTGCTTTTTACTCCCTAGAGAGTAAAAATGCTACCTCAGACCCGCAGTGCTTGCATTAAAAACAGCTGTTTTTGTTGCAGTATGACAAAAAAAGATTATAATGTAAAATGCCATGAAAGTAAAAATACTTAAAATGTTAAAAATAAAAACAAACAAATGAACCGATGATTGCAATACTATTATTACATAAGGTTAACATGGAAGATTTGAGGGCCACTGGGGCAAAGCCCGTACCATACAATGAGCTCATTTTATGGTTAGCAAAATTGCAGAGTGAGCTCTTTAAAATGACACCAGAAATGTCAAAATAGACTAAAAACTCTAAGAGTCCTGTTTACAAAATAACCCCTTCCAAATCAATAATATAGATATAGATTGGAATGTAAACTTGGTTTGCATAGATAATCCACCACCGTCAACATATTAAAGCAAATTAGTCTATGTACAAGTCAGTCAATTCTTGTCCAATAGTTTAACTAAGGTATTTAGTATTTCAGTTTTTGCCCTCCCTACGCCAGTCTGTTACTGTTACATCATATCTACTATTACTTCGCCCTCTATTGTTATTATAAGATGTAGTTGTAGTATTCACTCTACTTTGTTGACCCATCTCTTCTCTAGGATCTCTAGTTCTCCAGTTGAAACCATCTCTTTCGGAGCTCCGGTTACAATTGAATTCTCTGCTTTTTCTATCGTTGTCTCCATTATCGAATGTGTTCTTCCAATCACGTCTGTTATCTTTTGTATCAGTCAAATAAAGTATTAAATTTCTCTGTTCTTCCTTCTGCCAGTTGGGTTTTTGTTCTTCGAGTTCCTGAGCTTTGCTGTCTTCTGGATTAGTTTTTCCTCTCCAGTTACGCCGCTCATCCGATCTTACTTTTAGTTCGTTTCTTCTAGGATTGACACCATAGCTACGATTGACCCCAAAAAACCTTCTTCTATGAAAATCGATTGAATTTTCAACCTTTTTCCTTAACTGGTCAAGTAGTTTTGGGTTAGGAGTGATATCTTTGAGATCAGGGTATTTCTCTAACATCCTGTCCAGGAATCTATCTAATTCCTCTATGTTCTGTCTCTTTTCAGGAGGCAGGTTCTCATTTTGTTCTTTTGTTAGTAAAATTTCATTCACTAAAACCTTGACCATGTTTATGGGACCTTGGACCATGAATCCATAGCTTTGAAATTCCTGTAAGAAAAATTGAAATGTCAGTGGTTATGTTAAACTAATAGTGTTAAATTAGTATAAAGGTTTTTAATACTTTGGAATATATAATAAATTCTTTATGGATTTTAATAATTATTGCCAGTCAAGCAAAGTTAGCAGCAATAATTATAAAATGTAAAACAAGAAGTAAAAAATTTGCTTCAGTAAATTAGGATATCACAAATCATGAACTATAAAACTTACCAGAACCTTATAGGCTTTGTAATCCCCCTGCAAGACTGTCCAAAAATGTTTAACAGCTGATTCCAAGTCGTTTCTGTACATCAAGTAGTACCATCCGTAGTCACAAAGGGCGGATTGTTGTTTCAGTGTTCCTTGATCCGCATTCACCCATTCAATTAGAATTTCTTCAGAATCATAGTTGGGATTTTTTATAAGGTTCAATCGAATTATTTCAGAACTTGCAAAACTACTGGGAGCATCTTTTTCAAAGTATTCCAAAGCCTTTTCAATATTCTGTAAAAAAAAGCAATAATGTATGATTACAAAAAAAAAAAAAAAAAAAAAAAAAAACTTAAATTTCCTTGCCAAATTAAAACTAGGGTATATACTATCCCTATAGCATCACATGATTTTAACGTGAGTTTGAAAAACAGTTACAAAGAATAATTTGATATAATTTTTCTGAGTAACTAAAACAACAAAAACACAAGAGGGCTGTTTTTTAAGCAAGGGCTGGTTTCGCGTAAAAATCCGTAGTTTGCTTATACGCCACAACAATGCTCATCACCATTTACTGGCATCGTACGAAGTAGCTTATTCCCTCATGGGATGGGAAATTCACTACAATGTCCCGTCTTTTCTAGTTACCCTTTGCAATGAATTCAAATTAAAACTTTAAACACTACTAACACAGGTGAACACAGGTCAGCAGAGGTTGATGATTTGCAGTCAATTTTCCTAAAGTTAGAATCTATACTTATAAACCTACAACATCAGTTATGATTTGAACAAAAATATTAGAATGACTCTTTATCGAAAACTAAAAAATACCTGTTCATGTATACAGTAAAACTTTCCTAAAGCCAAGTTTGGTTTTTGAAACGAAAGTTCATTGGCTTTTAGTAAGGCTTCTATTGCTACTTTCTTATCAAAAAATCCACGTTTCATCTTCATCATTCCATTTCCAACTCTTTTTGATATTGAAGCAGAATCATTCTTTAGCTGCCAACATTCCCTAGAACATAACCATTTCTACCAGACAAGAATGGAAAAAATCCTTTTCCCAGTGTCATTCCCCTGTCAACAAGTTGATTTTACTTTTCACATATGCTTAAAAAAGGATCATTTGGAGATTGGATTATATTTTTGCAAGTAGGTACTGAAATTTTGAAATAATGGTTTAGTTTGTGTTAATATAGTCTTTACAACACAAGTAGAAATCAAGGCTCGAGTCTTGGTGATTGCTTTAAAAACTTCTATGAGTGTTGTAAAGGCTAAGTAGGCAAGTTGCTTACACTACTTACCTACGATCAATTGTTTTGCAAAACTTCTTTACAAATACTCTTTTTGTAGCTTTTTCAGGGAATAGGTACTGCTATCAGCATTCTTACCACAAATATTGATACTGATTCAGGTATAAGTAGACAAATATTACTCATATTGATATTGATATTTTTTAGCAATACTGAATGAATTCACAGGCCCAAGGCAGCGATGTCGTGGTCACTGCCGCAAACATTTGATCAGTACAGTTTACCTTCGCATTGTACTGGCTCACCCCTTGTTTGTTGGATACAATTCACACACGGGCAAATGCAAAGATAAAAGAGGCCGCCAATCTCTTTAAAAAAAATTTCTACAGTTTACTTAGCCTACAAAATTTAAATCAAAATATAAAAAAATTAAAGTAGGCCTAAATCTAAATTATTTTTAAATTATTACTATCATCAGTAAAGGATAACTAATAAAAAGTTTTGTACTCCTATTATTTTATTGTAGGTATTGTTTATTTGATTAAGGTGGTAAAAGATTATTACTAACAGTTCGACTACTTGTATGTAGTCTATTTCACTAGAACTATATGAGATTTTCAAAAATCTTCCAAAAAACCTTCTTGCAACTGTTGGTTATCAAATCATTCAATTTTCAGGTTAAGGAAAGAATGTGTGATTTCTAGTGTAAGTCAATAGATCCACTATTGAATTTGTCGTTATCAGCTGATTGAAGCATAATAATTTTACTTCTTTTATTGATCCGTTATTTTACCACACAAGTGCTGAAAAGTATTCCACACAAGTGTGGTGCATTATTTAAGTTCTAGAAATCGAATTGAGGAGGCTAGTTAAAAAAAACGGTCATAGGTAAATTTCTTTGCTACATTTGCTATGGTCTTATTTCAGTGGCACTGTTGATCACCATCGGGTTTTGAGTTAATTTGAAATTAATTTAATATTAATTTTCTTGAGTATTTATTGTCGGGACCACGTAAGTTTGCAGTTGGTGGCAGCCAATCACAAGACAAGGCTATTGCGACGTTGCCACATCGCCCATTGCCAACACTAATTAAAATATACAAAGCAATATTTTCAAATCAGCTGGTATTATTAGATTTGGCAACACCACACCGTTCTCATTGGTTCATTCTAAACCATATGGTAAATAGGCTCCGCCCTCAACTGCAAACTTATGTGGTCCCGACAATAACACAGTGGTTAAGGGTTGGACCACAAAAAAAAATAATTACAGTAAATTTTTAAGAAGAATACAAAATACCGCAGGTTTACCACTTAAACCTTTCAACGCTAGAATATTTTTTGTAATTTTCCAAAAATTCATAGTTATTTACTTATTGCGCCTGAAAAATTCTAGGTTTGCCACGGGGGCAAAGTTTAGTGTGCGAGAAAAGAATCGGTAAAAATAAAATTTTTCACCTCAAAAGTGCTAAGGAATGATATATTGGGCCACGATCGTATGAGGAATCAAAAGAAGCCATTGCTGTTTCAAAATAACAACCAAGTCAACAGATATGCCCATTTAAACTCACATGAACAAAAGTCATGCCAGCACTTCATCCGAAAAGCGCTAAGTGACGATATATCGTTCCATAGTAGGTTTTGTGTAAAAGACGCACAACGATATATTGTTTACATAGCACTGAAAGGGTTATTCCATCAATAATTTATACTTTGTTCACGAAATTTAGGTGGTTTGAAGTGAAGTTCCCCGACCACTTTTTTTCTTATTATGTAGCAGCTGATTGACGTTTTGGCAAACATTAGCTGTTGAGCTATTATTTTAATAATAGGATGTTCAAGAGAAGGGGATAGATTTCTTCCCCTAAAACCGCCTAAATTTTGTGAACGAAGTATAAGTATTACAATAATAACTGCAGTACTTATCACTTATCGGAGCAAATCTGAGAAGGCAAAAAAAATCTAGCAATATCATATTTCAATCTTATCACAAACTTACCTAAACAACTCAGAAGACTCTTGAAGAAACTCATCAACAGCGTTTGTTACGCTCGGATCTTTGGAATAAAACAGAAGATTTGCAAGTTCTTGATATGCTTGAGCTAGAAAAACTAAAAACTTTGGGTTTCTTTCTAACTCTACAGCCTTTGCAAAGTGATCCAACTCTTCTATGACCATGTTTTCATTAAACTCTCTTCTTAGTCGCCCTGCAATAAACATTTTTTATGGTTCATTTTCTAAAGATTGATTCAAAGTATGACCTGTAAATTAAAGATCAAACACTAAATAGATTAAATAAAAAGGCTCTGCAGTCATAAATAGTTACAAAACAAAATATCTGTAGTCAGAAAAGGACAGTTTGTATCCCCTCCTATTTTCTGGATTCATGCAAACTGTGAATGTCTTCTTGTCGTGACTTCAAACACAATATAATTTCAGAAAATGTATGTTTTCCCTAACATACTGCAAATGTAGGGACTTATCAAAACTGAACAACAGAACTATGAACACAAAGCAAAATTTTGGAAACAATGAAGTATTTGAACTTTTACTTTCTCCTCCCTATACATAGTATGTATTAGGAAAGTATTGTTTTTGTCAAAATTTTCGAGTTAGAGTTTTGGGTGGATATATCGGTTTTAGGTCCCCATGGAACAATAAAATGGTGTTTCGGCGATGCCTGTGTGTGTAGATGTGTACAGAGCTACAGACCACAACTGTGGTCCAATTACGATGAAATTTGTTAATGGTGATTTCCTCATAAATACCCATAAAATAAAGAAAAAATTTAATATGTTGAAAAATTCCCAAAACAATTTTGTTTAACGTTTAGTATATTATAATACTTTTAACTCTTAACAAAACAGTACAACCCCCATTGATGTGAAAATTATGGTTCAAAAGTTATTGTAACTTACGTGCATTTTTACAAAGCCCATAAAAAAGGAAAAAATCTGATTTTTTAAAAACTCCATGAAGAGTTTAGATTAAAATAAACTAATTATTTTACAGTCCTAACAATTCCAATGAAAATGGTGCATCTGCTATTGCTGTAAAAATTACAGTTCAAAAGTAATTGTAAGTTTAGTGATTTCCCCCATAAAATATAATAGTTACTCCCACCACTTACCAGTGATAAAGCTTGTTGACAAGTTTATGGGAGAAAGCGTGTCAGATTTTTGATACTGTTTATTTTTATTGCTTTGTCTAATTCAACTGTTTAGGCACGATAGAGCCCACATAAATTAGAGTTAAGAGTTGGTTCATATTTGAGCTAAGAGTTTAGTATTTATGTTTTAAAATAAAAAATGAGATCAAATAACTAAAGCCTGGCTATAACTTTGTCTTTTGATGCTAGTCTAACAATGTAACCACTTCCAATATAAATGAAAGCAAAAGGAATGATACTGCAAACTAGTGATTTTACTAGATTTAAATCAATACTTATACTGTTTGAAATAAGTTTATTGTACAAATATTTTAATAGGTTGATGTGAAATAACATACTTATTACTTTTCCACTGAGATAGTACCAGTAACCAAATCCTGGGTCCAGTTCTATCGCTCTGGACAAAAGGGGTATCAATACAGTGTAGTCTTGGTACATTGACATGATGAACTTAACTCTAAGTCCATAAATTCCTGCTTTGCACTCTTGAGACATCTCATCCACATTTTGAATCTTTCTTGCTAACTGAAACATGAGATTTCACTTAGTGGTGTGATTTTAAACATAAAAAAATATAGTAATGATTAACTAAGAAATAGGCCCGTTATTGACAATGTCAGCATACTAGGCACAACTAATAGTAGCGCCCTTTTGCAATATGTATAAAAGGGTGACCACCAACCGGGTAGTCCAGGAATTATGTGTGGATTTTTTTGAACCGGGAATTATGCTTGAATGTTGTATTTCTACCTGGAATTATCAATTTACCGTGATCACGCATGACAACAGTGATATTAATATGACTGCGGGATACAAAAATATGTCTACACACAGCCGCAAGGGATAATCAGAGCTTTGCCACGATTACAGAAGACGATGATAATTTCTATACGACTGCGGGGAACTATTGTAATTGCTAGCTTTATGCTAAACTGAACACATTACACAAATGCATGCCAGAAAGCATAAAAATACAAATAATACAAACCTCACGGGATTCTGTAACTTTTTGCTGGAGAAACAATATGTGAGCTTTAGTAGTTTGCAAAACATGATGAAAAACAGGCCCAATCCTCAAGTACATTACATCTTTTGCAGCTGCCATTTCCTCAACTGTTTCATCACATTTGGCAAGAGCCTCATCTAATTCATAATAATATTTCATCAACTGATCTTCCTCATCACCCTCAAAATCTTCGTCTTCTCCACTTTCATTTTCATCTTTTGTATTTTGATCTTTTGACTCATCAGACTCGGTTCTTTCTTGAGAATTTTCGTTAAAACATAAATGCATCAACGCTCTTTTGGAAATAATTACCAGTAGTATGGCAAACCTAAAAAATAAGTAAAATAAGGAGGTCGTTCAGTAATTACAGAGACTAAATGGTCTTGAAAGTTTTTCATTTTTGGCAGTTTGGTATCCCTGTATTCATTTCATTATCAATGCCAATCAGCTGTTATGCTTTGTTGCTTAGTAATCTATACTAGATAACCTGTTGCTTGAAATTGAGCAAAACTGCAACTTGTAATAAAATAATGAAGAACAAAAAACATAAACAGTAAAACCTCAATTATAGACTCACTCTAAACCTAAAGTAATTTCAATGAGCTTCAGAGCTGACCATGGCAAAGGCGGAATTGAGTTGACGAATTTTATCTAGATAATTTCTGGATTCAAGGCTCACAGCCCTGTTTTCAGATTGGGAGTTTCCAAATAAGTTCCTGAAAGTATGGTGAATTCCGCAAATGATGTTACAAACAAACCTTTCGTTTATGGCAACAAAGAGTAAAAATTGAACAGTCTCGGCCAGTCTTTTTTTTGCTTAAAATGTAGCCACCACAGTGTAAAAATGTAACGTTCATTTGTCCGAGATTGTATTAATCACCACAGCAGTACTGCCACTATGTATCCGTCAAATTGGGAGGTTCGATGCCAGCGGTCTCGTTTGCGTTCCCTCCAGCCACTCACAGTTCTTCGTCTTACTGGGGGCACTTAATTTTAAATTGAATTAAAATATGAAAGTTAACCAATCAACAAAAAACACTACAAAGGAATTTTGATACACATTGTAAATAACATGATAATATGGTAATGTTACTGCACTGTGAATAATCACTTTTAAACATTCACTTAAACACACCGAACTGTAACCAAAACTAATAATAACTCAGTAAAATACGATGTAATTTAAATCAATTCAATTATTACAAACAATTTGTTGTTAGGTCTTGCTAGGAACCTCTTTATTTATGAACTAGACTTAGTTAAAGGATGTTTAAATAAAAATATAGTATAACATTCCGGCTTTGCTCTGGATGTAATAAGTCCTACTGCAGTCTGTGGTTAAACTTAAAAACTATTTCAAACTACATCCAAATGTTGAGTTGTAAACAAAGGGAATTGAGTTTGATGGTTTGATCTAATGTCAACAGACAGCGCCACCGTTCCCAAACTTTAGCCCTTAACTGTACTTAGGTGCCCTTTCTTAATATTCTGAGACAGTTTAATATTCTTAAACCTTGCTCAGAGCAATGGCAGAACGCCTAACAGAAAAATGGAATAAACCCTACAGTTTAGTGATGAACTGGATAAGGGTAAAAACCATCTGTGCGACGTTAAGGGCCAGCAGCATGTGTCTAAGGAGGACAAGGAAGAAGTGGAGGACCCTTAGAGAGTTTGAAGATGGGGCTGGAGTACCAGTTATTTTTCAAAATATATATATCACATTCATTCAAAATGTAAACATGAAAAATTTGGAAGCCAGTGGGGCGTAGCCCAAGGGAAATATGAAAATTAAATGCTATAATATTGCATTGTCATCCACTTGTGAGCTATGTTTCAAATTTCAAGTCTCTAGCTCATCGGGAACTTCGTTTAAAATTGATATCAAAATTTGTAGGAAAGTGAGCTAATAAAAACAAGCCCATGGGGCGTAGCCCAAGGGAAATATGAACGAGTGGTGATACACGGGAGCGGGCTCTGTGCTACGCAACTCTTTAATTGATTAATAAGGGTACCGTAGTACTGGGAAAGGGGGAGAGCTATTCTAAGGAGGTACGGTTATTCTTAAAACTGCCAAATGGCGATAACACACATTTTTCCATAAAAATAAATGCGCCCGTGGAAAACTCCATTGTGAGTTATGACACCAAAGTTTAAAACTATCTTGAGTTGTTGAAAGTTCAAACATGTTAAAAGTTCTCACGATTGTGATGAGGACAGTGTTTTGTAAAAATAAACCCTTCCAGATTGAATTTCTTTCCAAACTTCACAAGTGGTCAAGAAATTAGTGAGTTTTTTGGGCCTTGGGGCTGTGCAGGCAGACCCCATGTTAATGACGCTCATAAAAGAAACAAAACACTCTCGTTTTAACCACCATTACACTCGCTTTTACACCATAATAATTAAAACTACTGTAGCAAACACAGTGTTTATAGATTGCCATATACGTATTATGTAGATGTAAACAGTATAACCAGTGAATACAAACTTTTCAAATCCATAAAAAGCTCCTTGGTTTTTGTAATCATGGAGCTTCTGGTGCATTAGGTAGTAGGTTAATTTTCTTTCAAGTATTGTAACCCATTTCAGCGGGGACTCCATGCGTTCTAGCCATGGTGGAGGTTTTAGAGCGTATTGAAATGCTATTTGATTGATGATAATGGTCTTCTCTCTGTTTTCATTCTCCGAGTTGAAAATGAGAGATTTCTTGTCTTTGACCATTTTGGGAGGCTGCTGATTTAACAGTTTTCCTGGAATGGAGAAATAACAGGGCTACATTAGTGCAGATCTACTAAGTAAAGTAACTAAATACATATACATACATGAGCAGGCTAGCCTACTTTAAGTTAATTTCCTTAACTACCATATTTACTAGCTACTACCATATTTTCGATCTAAGTACTTTGTCACAGATTTCAACGTAATTGCAATATAATGGAGCTTATTTGAGTATTGATGTTACATTTCCGCTTTTTGCAGTTGGTGTTTAAAATTGTTCAATAACTTTTAATGAAATTTGCCGTGACTGGGTATTTACCGCCCTGCAGCTTGTCAAGACGCAGATAGCTCACCTGTATCTGCTGCAGCGTGTGTGTCACAAACATCTGATGTAGACTCTGGTAGCTGTATAACATTGTCTTTGTGTTTTTGTTGATGTTCTGCACCGCTTCGTTGTGTTGACTCCTCAACTCCGCTTTGTACTGCTGCCACGACTCTACCGGAGTCTTCAGCTTTGCAACAATCTCGGGCGAACAATAGTGGTGTTTCGTCTCCCAAAGGTTGAGCAGCTGTGAGAAAATAATTGTGTTGGCATTTCAAAATATAGGACGTTAATTTATTTGTGGCAGGACAAATTGAGGAAGTAGTTTTATTTAATTAAGTTTAGTCATTTGTTTTTGACAATTACTTAGTAGAACATCATCCGATCACTGACCCACTCTTCACAAAAAGAGAAAACAGTTCCTGGTAAAACGAGTGTGACGTCTCTACTGTTACATTAAAAGTAACATGAGCTGTCATTTAGTGTTTTGATTTCATATACTCCTTCATTAGTTGTGACTTTATATTTTTTACACTGAAAGGAAAAACTTAAATACAAATGCAATGGGAGCCAATGTTAGACCAAGAAATGGTAGTAAATAAAGAACATAGCTTGCATTAATTAGATCAGTTATTTCCATACACTTAATCAATTTCTATATGCTTATGGTAGAGATGGACGGGTCCTGAAAATTCAGAAAAATATACCGGTAATCCCTATTATCGGGATGCAATTGACTCGGGATTTTCTCAAGACTAGATTCAATCCCAACGTTGGCGATTTGCTGTGTCAAGAGAGACTGTGATGAAGTCTCTGGGATCGCGGTAGATGTCCCCAGTATGACGAGTATAACAAATAGCAAAGGACTTTCACACTGGCTCCATGGCTGCGAAACATGTCAAATATGGCGTAGCAAGCACGAGACATATTGATGATGGTGTCGTGACTGCAGAACAAGTTCACAATCGCACTGATCGTGTTACATGTTGACGATGAAGCCGTGCCCGACAAATATGCTGACGATGCTGCTGTGACCTCGAGACAGTTTGATGATGGTGCCATAAATGTGGTACATGTTAAAGTAGTAGACCTGATCGCAAGCCATGTTGACCAAGAAGCTGTGACCGCAAGACATGCTGACGATGGCACCTGACCATTACCACAAGACATGTTGACAATTGAGCCCTGATTGTGAAACACATTGACGATGGCACCGTGATTGAAGGAGATGTTCCTGATGGTGCCGCGACTCAGTTTATAGACATAATGACATTGTCCTAGGTATTACAAAATGTATGATTGCTAGAGCAAAGTACTTCTTTTCTGCTGCTAATCATATTATGCCCCTAAACTATTCTTAGTTTTTAAAAATGTAGTTACACCTAATCAGTTTAAATCCCTGGTTGCGGTTAGCTAGGGTATTTTGTAATTGCTTTTGTGTTTCGTTAATTACATCAAAAAATTATTCGTCAGTTTTTGTCACTTGTACATTTGAACTATTATTGGTTTTCTTACGATGAAAATTGGTTTTGTTTGTCATCATGCTATCTATAAGAGTATTTAATAAAGAATTTTTAAGGCTAAAAATCCCTTCCTGTCTTATCCCAAATATGGGGAAGGAAATAAAAATCCAGTTCCAAGCTAAAAATATGATCCCGTCCATCGCTAGTTTTTAATTTTATGGCTAATAAAAACTGTATTACAGACCGGACCTCACAACTAGCAGGATTTTTAATCACACTTCCTAAACTTGCGACAATGGTTTTTATTAGACACTTCCCTTGTGAAGGCTACTGTCATTAAGGAGGCAAACATGCCTGTTCCATAAATTGTGCAACGTGTGTCTATCAGCATCAGTCAGAAACTTTCCTTACTTTCTGAACAGCTTTTGTATTCAACTATAATATTTTACAAAAGATTTCTTTAAAATTAAAGGCCTACCATGATCCTTATCTCCTTGATCTATTTCTTTCTTTTCTTCTAAAGCAAGACGTTTTGCTACGAACTCCTCAATGTTCATTTTCTTTTTCTTCTTCTTCTTCTTTAAGGTTGAAAAGTCAATAGGGCTATCATGGGATATATTGTCCTGTAAAGACATAAGCACACGGTTAGAATTAAATTTTAGTCAGAAGCATTTTTCTAAGGTTTATGCTTTAGTATTTTTCTCTTCCTAAAACAGAGTTACATTATTTATTTATTTATTAATTTTACCTTCCAAAGGTCAAGAACCAATTTACAATATGTTGTATAGATGACTTTATCTAACTTAAACATATACATACAAAATAATTTTTGACAATGACATGCAGTAGTAAATACAATTTGAGCAGTATCAAAATAGACGTACACAAAGCAGAACTTTAAATAACAACCAATGAACAAGAACAACAAACAAGAATAGTAAGTGAAAATATAAATGAACGACAAACAATAAATATATGAGTTTCAACAATAACAATAAATATTATGTTTCAAGAGCATCAATTTATGACCAAAATTAAAAACTTTATAGGCCTAACTTAACTTAGTGTAGAGGAATTAAATTTAATGGTAGGTAAATGGGGCAATCTGGACCACTAAATTTTTGTTTCCATTTTCCTTCTTACCGTTCCGTTACCGTGCCCAATACTGTTCCGTTCTTTCCAACAGTGCATTTCTTTTTCAATGTTAAATTATAGATCACCGAAATTAAAAACGTTTTATCAAGGCAACACTAAATAAACAGACCGTAATGCTCCTCTGGCATGTTGTCATCATAGGCGACGGCAATGACGTAATGTTTGCCGTTTGTATGATTAAGGTTATATTTTTGTTTCCCAAGAAAACAAGCAGCTGATCACAAGCGGTAAACATTACGCCATTGCCGTCCCCTATGATGGTGTCATTCCAGAGGAGCATTACAGCCTGTTTATTTAGTGTTGCCTTGGGTTTTTGCCTAACTTAGCGTAGAGGAATTAAATTTAATGGTAGGTAAATGAATGAGGACACAAGATGCAGAGATGTGTTGAAAAAAAGATGAGGCAGTGTGTTGGGAAGGCCAAGTACCATTTGGGGTAGGCCTACCAGTGGCCACAGCAGTAAGTAAGTAAGTGAATGGGTAATTCTGGGCCACTAAAATGTTTTTTCCCATTTTTCATCCTAGCCTAATACTATTTTGTTCTTTCCAACGGTTTGTTTAAACTTATTTTTTATTTAAAAATCATATTTAGCTATAATTAATTGCTTGATTTATTGTATTTGTAGTGTAGTGTGTTGGTAAATGCACATTCAAAGTTGCTATATAAATACTGTAATTAGAGCTAGGCCCTCATGGTATTAACATACAGCATGGCATAGTTATCAGTGAGAGGGGTTGCGACCGATTGTGCCATTGTGTCAATGGATATGACACAACAGACACAACAGAACAATGCATGATGGTTTGGTTTAGCCATTCACTGCTTTGTATGGGATTTCACAGTATTTTATGTTTGTGTAAACAGGTCTTTTGTCCCAGCTTTTTCCCTACATTTGGCAGTACTGGAGGACCTATAAGCAATTGTTCAGTGCTGTTATATTTTTCTCGTTTAACTACAACCACAATGAGACGCAGTTGCTACAGGTAGGTACTGTTGCTCTTCTGTTCAAACAAAATTTGAAAATCTTCTCACACTCATCCGTACAACTGTTTAAATACTTGACGGTAGCCGACCACTAAGCAAAAACAGCGAATGTGTTAATCCATGCTCGTTTATTAACTAGTTGTGGAGAAAGTTATTTAAAAGTACATAGGCTACTAAGAAAAAATGTTAAAAAAGAAAAAAAGGACATTGAAAAATTTCTTTTGCTAATAATGTGTCCAAGTGTCCCTCATTAACTATCACTATTAGACAAACTCACACGGAGCCCAGTCTAACTTTGGTTTAGTCACATACAGTGGTATAGTGGAGCGGGAACAAGTGGGAACGGCCACGGCGCTCCCGCTCTGCTTTTTCAAAAAAATCAATATATTGATAGGCAACCCTTATTCATCTACGATATTAGTGAGCATTCCCTCACTGCAAAATAAAAAATTACGAATACACCACTGGTTACATACTAGAACTTAGAAGTTTGAAAATTAAAACAATCTGAACATTTAAAATAGTAACAGATTAGAGGACTATGAAATGGTATGATTTTCAGCAGCTGAAGTACCGGTACCATTCAAATGATGACTGGTGGTAAGCCAAGCTGCAAGTGAGAGAGTTACCTAACCCAATTTTTCAACTAACACTTTCTTTGGGATCTCTATACCTACCTCTATTGCCTCCTTATTTTCTCCTCTGTCAATTGTATCTTGTTTTGTCTTGTCCATAGCATCTGGCAGGGCTTCTAAATTAAATGCCTCCTTTCCTTTCTTTTTCTTTCTTTTCTTTTTTCCAAAAATTTCTTTTAGATCTAAATTATCTGCAAACAAGCACAAAAGCCCAATGAATAGCCACATAAATAAAGAAAGAAACAGATTAATGGAACGGATTTACTGGAGATAGGAGTTCTGAGTGTGAGAATGAAATTTAAGAAAACAAAAATTATCAAATCTCAGATGATTTTGTTCCAACATGTAGCCTAGTTTGTTTCTGAAAGGACAATCATTTCCAGGACGAAATCAAACATACGAGAATGGGAGATTTTTGTGCAGTTTCTTTTTAAAACCCCATAAAATTGCACACTTAGTAAGCTATTGTGTGTTGTAACTTCTTTAAGACTGTACAATATTTCATTACAGTGGCGTAACTAGAACATGGCTTTGGGGGGGGGATGGAGGAGCCCCAATACCGGGGGGCCTCCCCCCCAAAAAAAAAACCCCCCAGCAAAAAGGGGGGTCCGGGGAATACTCCCCCGGAAAATGTTAAAAAATTTGAACTCCAAACTCGCTTTTTCAGGCATTCCAGAGGTGTAAAGAACTCCAAAAATCTACCCAGTTGAGGCTGTCTTTGGCCGGTCAGTATCAGGAAATAGTAAGTAACTAATAAATCAAAACCACAACACAACAAACGAACAAATTATCATTAAGTTGTTGTTGTCCTGTAGCCTTCTGTGCTGCGTGCGAAGAGCCGTATCTACTGAATTTTTATTTCAAATAGATTTTGACAGGCTGAAAACTTAATGTATTATTGATCAGTAGACCTACAGTGTGTTGAGACATTTGTTGAGACACTTAAAACACAATCAACAATGAAGATTGACAGTCAAAACCAATATTGTGAGAAAGCCCTTAACCCTCTATCTGGCGCTGGTCGATTTTCGACCACTAAAACGTGAGTTCTCAGTGGCGCTGGTCGATTATAGACCAAGATGACATGGGTCGGGTTTTTCTATTATTAAAATATGAAAACAGTTTTAAAACACAATAAATCTTATACCATTAGAAAGATGAGATTCTGAGGATTCATTTTCATGCATAAAACATTATTGAATGAGTATTATGCAGCGAGAAACGGTAGTTTGAAAAACTAGAGAGTTCAAAATAGATTTTGGCGGTGGAAAGTTTTGGTCACCTGACTACAACAACAGCTGTTTTTGGTGATTGTCAATTAAATTGTATACAATATTAGTACATATTCTGAAACTACAATAAATTCCCTACAATTCCCTGTGAATCTATAAGGTTGATTGTAAAAATTTTATTTGTTTTTAAAAATGTCATAAATATTATTTTTTTGTAAAAAAAATTTCAAAATTTTACATTCCGACGTAAATTTCTCCGACATTTTAGATTTCAACTAAATATAACTATATATTTTCAGGAAGATCTTTTTATTACCTATTGTACAGTATTATTTCATTTTTTGTTGATGCATTCTATTACTTCCTACATGACAAAAAAATTTTCTAGTTTTTCAAAAAAGAAAACATGTATGAAGAATTAATTTTTTTATAATTTTATTTTTATGAGTATTTAAAAAAACATTGATATTTCTACGTAGGGAATCATATTTCACACAAACTTTACATTTAGATAAAATGTGTAAAAAAATTATTTTGTGGTTTTCTTGTGGGTTGCTTTTGAAATTTCTAATTTGCATAATCCAAAAATTTGCAAACCTTTTGCTACTACGCCTAAACGCATTGCTAGAAAAAGAATATTTTTATATTATTATATTACAAATTCATCACTGAAATAGAAAATATATATATATGTGTGTACTTATATTCACAAATAAATGTTCTGTGGCAAAATATATGATACCACTACAAAAGCGCCAAAATATACCCGCCACTGGTGAATAAAATGACCGCCAGATCTAGGGTTAATTTCTTGTTATTTGTGTATGTCAGCTGTAAAGAGGATTTAATCGTAAAATAATATCCTTCGGCTACTAACTGTTAAAACTTGATATTAATATAGTTGTGAAATTCGTGTAGCCTAATATAGTTGGGTTAGTTCGAGTAAAATAGTTGGGAAATTCAGTGTCTCCCCCAAAATATTTTTTTCGTGCGATGACCCTGACTGTAGGTAAAATTATCGGGTGGAAAGAGTGAACCTCCCCAGGCACCAGATACCCCTCCCCCACCCGCCCCTACACCACGCGTCGTCGCAAAGTAAGCAAGGCAGAATGTTTTTGTTTGTTATCAGGAACTGTCATCACTTTCAGTATGCTCAGTTTTAGCACAGACAAGGGAAATTTCCTTAGTCAATGGTTTTAGTTACCATACGCTTTCTAAACAAATCTGTTATTAAGCTTTGCTATGATGATGCTTTCCTCTTAGACATTGTGAACAGAACACACGAGACCCGTAGCCTCTTCAGCCGAAAATTATCGTGGCTTCAAACTTCGCGTTAGCCGAGAGAGAGTTGTTGGGAGCTTGATTCACGCACACAATTCGACAAAAATGGGATTTATTACTTCATTAATTCACTAAAATTATACAATCAAGAACTCACTTAAATTACACAATTAAGGTTTAATCACTTTTTACAAAATAATTTAGATATCGAATTTGAAGTTAAGAAATAAAATTTAGGTTAGAGGGAGCGCGGAGTCGCGACTGTTTTAATTGAGTTTTCAACGCGGACTGCCTTGTTGTCGGCAGTGCTGATGCGCCTCGTGGGCCAATCAGCGTTCAGCGTAGTCACTGAGCAACACCCTGCGCAAGGCTCGACCTCTTTGCCCGCCAAATACACTCCCCAACGGAGGCTAGCTCCATCAGCAGAAAGCCCGAGTCAGCACCGGCAATGAGCATATTCCAGCTTCATAACTTTTACCATTAGAATATTCTTATAATTTAAACGAGGTTGGAGATAGTTTGGTGAGGCCGGGATATTCATATGGAGACTCAATTATCTTCAAATAATTACTCAAATAAATATTTCTTAAGTTTCTGACCACTGGTTTGGACGATGATCATGTTGATTAATTATTGATACTAATGTATTGATAAAGGTGTGATGGTCGATGTTAACACCAAACCAGGCCATTTATACAAATTTGGCAGTTACCCCTACCCTGCCAATTCCTCATTTAATTATTATATCTCCTGAGTAGTCGATTAGAATTTAATTATTAGGAGTATAAACGGCTAGGCCGTTACACACATCATCACTGAATAACAAGTAACACACAGGCGACAAGCACAGGGAAACGCGCCAGACCCAGAACAGACTGAGCGGGAACTTACAGTTACAGCGCATGAGCGGCAGTGTTGCCAACCTAATATGATGACTTCCCACGTAATTGCCACTGGAAATCCCCGATTTTATTCGCAAAGATTATGAAATCACCCGCAACAATTCCTGATCCACCCTCTGTGAACAATGTTCATTATGGAGTAGGTTATTAAGATTTTTTTTTTTTTTGCCTTTGGGGGGGGTTCTATCCCCCTCATCCCCCCCCTCCCCCGTAGTTACGCCACTGTTTCATTATATGTTTTTCTATTGTACCGTAGGCCTATTTGTTTTGTAAACATTCATGAAACAGAATTTGTGTTGAGTGGATATGCGTGTTTCTATTACCGGTAATTATTTTATAATTAATTAGAGTCATTTTATTGTGTCTACATTTTTCTTGTTTCATACAAAAGTGCCACTGCTTTTAAACTTAATAGTTAACATTACTTTATGATAAGTTATTTTGGGTCTGACTTACGGGAGGTATAAATGAGGCATCGATGATATCATAGTTTAGTTCAAAGTTCCTCCATGAACACCGCTGTAGTAGGGAGCACTTTGGCTATAATGAATGTTTACTAATCGAAAAAATAGTTCCTGTTCTTAAAATAAAATTATAAATGCCTCAAGTTCAATTTTATAATTTTTAGTTATAAAATTAAACTGTCATAACCTAACCAAACTTATTGATAATGAAAAATATAATGAAGGTTTACTAATCGAAAAAATAGTTCTGTTCATAAAATGAAACTAGAAATGGCTCAAATTCAATTTGATAATGTTTTTTAATTATAAAATTAAACTGTCATAGTCTAATCAAACTAACCAAACTTGCTGATAATGAACAAATCTTGGACAAAAGGTTAGTTTTACTACCCATTGGTTTCGAACCTGGCACCTTCAGATTATAAGCCCGGCATGCTATCCATTAGACCACCAAAGCCGATGGCTGTAAATTGTACCGTTGTGGTAATGGTGTTCCCTCAGCTAATCAGAAGCCTCCAAATGAAACAAATGATGTCATCGTAGGCCCATCTACATCCCTTGAGTAAACACCAGTTATTTTGAATGAACACTGTAGCCTAGACAAAACTATTTCTGTTCAAGCAGAAAAACAGCATTCCTGATGTGCTGGCCAGATTCAACTGGATTTGGTTTGTAAGAAAACCAACTGCCCAGGCATAGTATATGGTTTCATAATCATGTAAAATGTGTGTTTAAAGATTTCTAAACCCTTAAATCCCTTTACATTTGCTTAGTAAAATGTTGACTTTATTACATTAGGCCTATTACAAAAAAAAAATTATAAATGGTGATTTTTTTATTATTTAGCCAGGGGAACGATGTATTGAGAAAAACAAAGATTATCTACAACACAGCCTTAGTCAGTCATAATCTAAGTTTAATTAGGCCTAGGATTTTTGATCCACCAAATGTAGGCTATACAAAAATAACAACATTAATTTTGAGCCGTACCATCAGTTTCCATATCTTCAGTCTTGGAAGGTTCTTTGTTCTCCTTATCCGTAGCACTGGCAACTGCTTTGTCCCCATCTGCAACATTAGTTGCCTCTGCCATGGCTGACTCAATATAAAAAGTGGTCCAATATCTTCTTCCACTTTTCAAAAGAAGGATTACAAATCTGTAAATAGCAATTAAGTTTTTAGGCTCACTTAACTAACAATAATATTTTTAAATATCAAGATTGTTAAATTGGGATTGATTTTTTGAGCAAAACATTATATATTTTAGTTGCTCTTTGGTCAAATAGACAAAACTTGTTAACATAAACATTGTGCTTACTACAATATGAATTAGTTCAAGAGCTGTTTCGGTAGGCCGGGACTGCGGCGTTAACACTTATGTCTCACCTCGGCCTGGTATTAGAGAAGGCCATGACGATACACAAGTTTTATCTGTAGGCTGTTAAGAAAACCTAATGATGACTGTCTGTCTGACTTTGTGTGTGTTTGTATTAAGTTATCTACTTTTTGTTTTGTTGTTAATTTCCTACCATGAAAATTATTGTTTTTTAACAAAATGACATAGGCCTAAGTTAAGCTTACTGGGAACTGGAAACCAACATTTAACCAACGGATTTTATAGGTACATTTAAATTCTCAAACGTCACCTGTCTAAAAAGATTTACCATGGTAAAATAAAGAATGTAGGCCTAGCCTAAGTTAAGTGGTTTATGAAATCAACAACCCTATTCTTTTTTTGTTGTTATTTTCCTTCATAATAGGCCTACTCTAAATATAAAATTACTAACTAGAATTAAAACTACTTTTTAAACATTCACTAAGTATAGCCTACTAAAATATAATTCTTTAAAAACCTTTTTCTATAACGGATAATAAGCTAGAATAATAAACTTAACGTTTTAATTACTTGAGTCTGTAATAACTGCTGGTGTTAGCATGGATAAAAGGAGTAGACACCTCTTTTAACTACTCCTTTTATCTATGAAGTAAAGTAAAGTATTAAAAACTAAAAAGTGAAGTATGGTGATAGTAAACACTAAACAAACAACAGAAAACGGGAACGGGATACTCAAACAAAACAATAAACATTAGAAAAACTCAATTAATTAATTATTATCTGTTCCTGTCTGTAGTGTAGTGGTCTAGCAGCAGAATGCCAGTACAACAAAAAACAATGCCAAGTTAGCAGGATAGCCAACATCTCTACATCCATGTTGTACAGTATCGATTTACATATAAGTCTATTCGTTGATTATGAGCTTAAGTATAAACTGTATTTTGTAAAATGTTGTCCCTGATAGCACCTTGCAATGACAGTAATCACTGACATAGATAAAACATACTCCTCTGTTAGCGAATTTCCTATATAGGGAATAAGCTATTACTGTACTGTAGTACTCATGGTAAGACCTGGACCCGGGACCGATTTTTTTTTCGTTTTGAGGTCCCCAGAGGCCAAAAATAGCATCCGTTAAAATTCATATTTATATATATGCTCTATTTATCTAATATATATATTTATATATTGTATTTGATATTGTTCACGTTTAGGGCTACTGTAATTAATATTAATAAATAATATACCATAGTACCCTTTTTTAAATTTTTTTTTTTTTATTTTTTTTTATTTTATTTTTTTTTTTTTGTAAATAAAATAACAAAATAAAAGTAAAAGAGGAAAACTCTGTCTCCATCCTCTACACTTATGAAAAAGAAGAAAAAAAAATAAATAAAAAAAAAAATTAAAAAAAGGGTACTATGGTATATTATTTATTAATATATTTATATATATATATATGTGTCTGTTAGCGCGATAACTCGAGCAAAAATGATCCGATTTTGATGAAATTTGGTACAAACGTGTAAACCTACGTTTATTCGAACGAGTTTGCGAACCAGCATGATCGGACCATGGGAACGGGGGTTTATGGGGGCTTTTATGGGGTAAAAATGGGTTTTTCCCATTTTTGACCCAAAAAACTTAAATTTTTGCAATTCTTTCCAAACTATTTTTTAGAGCTTAAAAAACAAATAATTTAGTATATTGAAGCGTTATAATGCGCCTAATGGTTACGGAGAAAATTCAAAAAATTTTAAATTTAAAATTCCTATGTTATTCTTATGGAGAATAAGTATACTGTTGTAGTTTGCTTATTTATTAACACATTTTGCCCAAATTTGGAAAATGTTTTTATTTCTTACTAACTATTAACATTTTACATAAAAAAACACTTTAACCCTCCCTGTTGCAGCAAACCTAAGTATGTGTTAAACTGATTCAATTTAAATAGGGAATAAAAATGTGATATTTTTAAGGAGACATTTTAGTGTAAATCCAATCAGGCAAATGGAAATTCGCTTAGTCTGCAGGTTTGCTGCGGCGGTGGTATTTTATCTATGTCACTGATTCGCTGGTAAAGTTACCATCGGTGGGTGTACCACGGCATTGGCATAGTCGCAAGTGTGTTGTTTACACGGCCACCGGGCCACCTTTAACTCCGGATTTAAAATATCATGTCATGAGTTTGTGTGTAGACATTTTCAATATAGATTGTTGGTCTGTCTGAAAATATTTGTTGAGATGAAAACTAAACAGGGGGCGGGCAGGCAAGGGTTCAGACTGATAGCTTTGTCACCCCTAACCGTATCATCCGGGATCTTGGGCTTTTTCCCCAAATGTTTTGAAATTAAAGTAGCCAAAACCAGTTTTAGCACTATGTTGAATTTTGATCAAATTCATATTTCTTTAATACAGTCCTACTAAGCTATTAACATTTCCCTAAACACATACATTATTAGCTCCCCTGTAGCAAACCTAACTCATTAAACCCAATCTTATCTCCATCAGGAGATATTTAAATACAAAATCCAATCAAGTAAATATAAATTCCCTTAGATTGCAGTTTTGCTGTGGTGGGGGTGTTTAGTTTTCTACTATATTTCAATATTTTCATAATGGTAGATTTGAAATTTGTAGGCTTATTAACATTTTTGTGTTTAGCCAGCAACATAAAGAAGTAAGGTAGAGAGGACTGAAGAAACAAGCTAATGGGACAACAGTGCGCTTTCAGTTCTTGTGTGTTGGGGCAGAAATACTTTGTGGCAGCAAGAAAGAGTCAGAATGGTGAGCAATGAGCGGAAATTCCAGAAATGCATAGGGCACAGGATCTTCCCCCATAGTGAGCTTAGTAGTAGAGGTGGGGAGCGGTTGCAGCACTTGCTGTGTTCAAACTGGAACAAAAGGTAAATATTTACAATAAGTAATTTGGAGGAGATCACAATGATGTTTAGTGGATGTAAGAATGTTAACTCATTCAACTACTTCTTCAACATCCATCTTGACACTGAAGTTTGGTAAACATTCATTGCCTTGGTCGGTTTGTGTTCGGGTCGAGCTCTGGTCGCATGGTGAACGACAACGACCGGTGGGGTGTTTGGTCATGGTCGTGGTCGAGCTAGTGCGCGCCAGCCCTAATGGCCAATTTTTACAAAAAAGTTCATGAATTGTTATCAATTATTTTTTTGGGTCATGTTTTTTTATCACACATGAGTACATTTAACCAAAATAAAAGTAAAAGAGGAAAACTCTGTCTCCATCCTCTACACTTATGAAAAAGAAGCAAAAAAGGTGTTGTGTGCAATCGTGATTAAACTCACCAATGCCACCAACTTCCACCCAAGCCGGACAGCATTTTTTTTAAGGTGGACCCTTCACATTAAGCCACACATTAGTAATAAGCTTAATATAACCTACACATGTACGGGATTTGAACCCGCGCATGTAGAAATAGTCAATAGTCAATTTATGAACTACTTATCACCAGTGGGTTAGCATTATTTTACCTACTTATTTAATTGAAGTCGTGGGGAACACTGAGTTCACAACAAAACAAACCAAATCCATACCACAATGAGGGAGTTATAATGACGTTTTTAATATTTTCAAAAACTAGTTTTAGGGAATATCAATACAGTATTAGCGAAATTCCCATATAGGGAATAAGCTATTACCATAGGGCTCATGGTAGGACCTGGAACTGGGACTGATTTACTTTTATGTTTTGAGGTCCCCAGAGGCCAAAAACACTACGGTATCCGTTCAAAGTTATATATATGATTTTATTTAGTAGTACCATAAAACATTTTATACAAACACATTTTTCATTGCAGGCAATTTAAACTGAAAAGAGTTGTAAGTATAAAAATCAAAATTCACTTTATCTATAGGTTTAATGCAACCGGAAAATCAAATGGAGATGGGTTGTCTACTTTGGTATTCAAGGGTCAACGGTAGCCCTTTAAAACTAGCCAATGTTAAACTGAAAGTGTTAGTATGGGGAAAAAATCAACCAATTAAGTTACCAAAATCGTATATTAACTTATAAATTTTTACATATGCGCATTTATAATTGAATATATAAATACAAAACAAAGGATGACCAAACACGTTGTCTAGCAGCGAAGGGGGACAGCAGAAGTGTGAGACGCAGCACAGATGTTACGTTAATGTACAAGTGTTGGGAGGTGATTAGGCAGTTTTCGCACGTATTGCCGCTCGCTTTCCAGTCACAGCCTGAAACAAACAACTTGATTAGATCTCAGAAAAGTGCTTTCCTTGTGGGTTGTTAAGCTCACAGCTATCCCCGGCTACTTCCACCTGTTGGCCTTTTGTAGCACTCAACTTAGTCCAAACCTTAGGCTCTTAGCTTAACTCATTGGCATACCAAAATTGCACAACCTGATCACACACAGGGATTTTTTTTCTCCCTTAGCCGTCCACAAAACCAGCTATAATTTCCTCATCCATTTTTTATTTTGTCATAAATTACTGTCTTCCTCCTTAGAAAGATTAGGAAACAATTCTCAAATATCTATACACCAGTGTTTACACTAGATTGTAAATTAGACAGTCACCGGATTTTAACACAAAACATATCCTAAAACCCTCTTGTTGTTATTAGTCTTTTTCTCTTCCAAAACTGGTTAGACAACTAAAGAAACAAAAAACTATTGCAGATTCACAGAAAATGATTATTGTCCCAACAAGTAATGTTATCCCTCAGAATAATGTCAAACTAGTAGCAATGTCCCAGGACAGGAATGCTTGAGCTCATTAGTGGCAGGACAGAAATGTTCTGTCCAAGTTTGCCAGTGGATTAAGAGACATTTGTTTTTTTTTTTTACACACACTTTATTACTTTAGAAAATCTAGACACAAGATCTTTGGATAGTCTTTATTTCTTTCATTTTAAATATTTTACCTAGCTTTAGTTTGGTTATTATTGTATATTTTTATTTTTATAATACTCATGTCAGAGAAATATGGGATATGACCTAAAAAAGTTGCAAGAAAAAGTGTTATGGTTCCGTTTCATTTTTTAGTGGATAAATGTACCCATATACTCTTTGACAAACCTTTCCAAAGAGCAGTTTTATTTACTGGATACTGAAGATCATTTATGTGCTGTACATTTGATATAGTATTTTTCTAAGACTCTTTGTGATTTTTTTTTCACTCAAGTCAAAAGAACTAAACTAAAGAATGAAAACCACAGAGGTATGATAACATTTAATAGAGCTTTTTTAAACTAAAAATACTCTAGACAAAGAGGAAATCGCCTTAATTTATTTTATACATTAGAAAGTCATGGACATGAAATAAAAAGCTAGAGCCTCATTAAAACTAAAAGATTTACAAACTACTTGAGGTCCAAACAGTGACACAATAAGACCACTATTGACTAGTTTTTAAAGAGGTTGGCGGCCTCTTTTAACCTTGCATTTGCCACATAGACAGATCTGTACGTGGAACGTATCCTCTTGACGCCATTCCTGTATCTATGTATTGTACTTTAATGAATAAAGTTATATGAAATGAAATCCAGCAAAGGAAGGGTTGAGCCGGTACAGTACGAAGGTGAACTGTATTGATAAAATGTTTGCGGCAGTGTCCAAAATCCAAACCCACGACATTGAAGTCGTGCCTAGGGCTCAAAGTCCGTGACGCTACCAACTCACCAAACTACAGTAACTTAAGCTAAACAGAGGTCTTCCACCTCCAGTATAAACCGTTTTAACATTCCTCAACCATTTACTCTATTTCAACACAGATTTAACAAAAAACAGCCGTACCTGGAAACCAGATTTGATGCTGGCCACAGAGCATCGGGAGCCGCAAGTCTCACATTGCAGGAAAAACAAGCGAGTGTCCTTCTGCAGGATGGTGTCGGGGGATCTGCACGTGTGACAAGTCACGTACTCCTTGATGTAACGTCTCAGCACATTCTCTATCTGCTTCTGCTGAAATCTACATAAAACGTAAAACGTTATACACTTGTCAAAATGAAAGCAGTTTGATGAAAGGTACAGTATGACAAAAATAAATACCGTAATCACTCTGTATGAAAATGTCTTTTTGACCCTTGCTCATTTTCCGACCTCGGCTTTGGTCTTTTAACTTAAGCTGGAGTTGAGAATAATTACTTTAAAACCTAATAATATACACTATTATTGGATTAACTTTTGAAAAAAAAAACAACAAATATTCAAAACTATGATTGTCAAGGATTTTGATTATATTTTTTAGTTCCAATTTGGCCTTAGAAGAATATTTCAATCATATTTCATGTTATTTCACAATAGTACTAAATACAAACAGTTCAGTCCCAATCCAATTCTTTCAATTCCGTAGACTGGACCGACTGCACTAAGTTCATCAGTAACTTTGTATTAAATTCCCTTTCTAAGGCCATCAGTTGCCATTTTATTTTCACTTTTTTAATAAATTATCAGCTTATTATTATTTTTGTTAAGCAAGCAGCAGTTTTTTGTTTTATTTATTATTTTGGACATTATTAAATTCAGTGTTGCAAAGAACTAGGAAACTACGGAACTAGGTAACAGTGCAAGTGAAATCTCCCATCATCACAGGGCGCCCCTAACTACATCCTATCGACCTCAGGATGTCAAAAGGTGCGTGCATCTAAATACTAGCACTACAAAATTTGTCTTTTTATTGAATTTTAAAAGTGACGTATTCAAATTATCCCACAATGATCTTAAACATTTTGGTTTCACTTTTTTTTACTCTACCTTAAAAGTTATCTTTTGTTTACTAACCTGCCCTTGATGATGAGTTGACTGTTTCCGTCCACGGAACCGCTAGTTCCCAACTCGGCCAATAAGAAGTCTAACAAGTGCTTCGGTTGTCGATGTAACCTATCACACAACACTTTTATAAGAGAATAGAAAGCAAAATAAATAGCAAGAAGGGTAATATAAGAGAAGAGAAAGCATAATAAATACCATGAAGGGTAAAATACTTGGCTGTTAATTGCTTTGTAAGTGTGTAAAAAGACAACAAACAGTGTTAAGATCCAAAAATATCAACAAGAATTTGATAAATTATTTTAGACATGAAGAGATAAGGGCTGAGATAGAACAATTGGTTTGACAAGGGATTTCTATGTTCTAAATCCTGTGCACTAAGTAAAATATATTAAACTAAAACTAAACACTTAAAAGAGAGATAATTAGACCCTATTGTAATAATATTTCAAATCAATTTAAATGCATGAAATGCATGAAATTCTGTTCATGTAAAACATGACATAAGACGCAGTGTCCCACAAGCTACAGAAATTTTGATTGTTGTCCGTTTTATAGAATTCAAAAGAGGCCTAGGCCCTAATGGGTAAGTTTGGACAGAAGAAAAGTGGAAAAAACAACAGAGGCCTTACACAATTATATGATGGACTTCATAAATATTTACAGTACATCTGAAATAATCTTTCACAATTGTAAAATTACAATAAATCAAAAAAATTTTCAAACAACTTACGTTTTACAGATTTCTGTAAAGTTAGCGAAGGATGTTTTCTTGGTGCCGATTCGCACGACCTGTGGAGGCCGCATGACAAACTTCTGTTTCTTGCCAGCGACCATGTCTGGGTTCTTGTCTCTCATGATGTCAAACACTCGGGTGAGCAGCTCATCGTAGGTGTAGTCTCTGTCGGAGCCCAGCCAGGTATCCTCCGCTGCCGCAAACATGACAAAATCATTGTGGAAACTAAAACTTTGATATATTTAAAGAAAAAAACATAAAGTACACCTTCTTGACCAACCGTAAATAAACTGCCGCTTAGATACCTGCTTCTGTTTGTTCAGGTGAAATCAGAGGTCGGTTTATCTGCAAAACTGGCTAGACCTGACAGGTTAGTAAAAAAAAAAAAATAAATAAAAAAAAACAGTAATATGAAAAACAAAAACCTGCTGACTTTTTGACCCTTTTTTAGGCACCAACCTAAGATTAGTCTTGTGAGGGTTAGTTAAAAGAGGGTTTACGTAGCTGGGTTGCCTGCCAAGTGATGCAATAGTTGCCGATTCGATCCTGAGAAAGATCAGTTGTTTTATGATTTGAAACTAGACCCAGCTGTCCTTGAAAAATGATCCTAGCTTAAGATGCCCTTAAGCTAATCACAAAACTAAAAACCAGGAACCAGGGTGTTTTGGTTGAGGGTGTGAGTTATGTGTGTTGTCACAAAGGAGGATATCAGCTAGCTTTGCTCGAAGTGTAGGCAGGCCATAGAACATACAGAAGAGACACTGGACACACAACATTTTGTCCCCTGAAAGACTTAGTCAAGTGTAGAGAAAGCATCCAATACTTAACAACCAAAGGAAACAATAAGTAAAGTCATTTCACTCCTTTCTTCACTCACCATGCATTCATATTAAAACTTGTAACTTAATGTTAAAATAGGTATAAAGGAATAAGGATCAGTTTATGAAATTTGTTAGAGAATGTAAAGGAATAAAGATCAGCTAGCTTACCTGAGAAACTTAAGTCCATGGGCCAATAGATGCACAGTAAAAAGAACACAAAAACATAAAAATGATATTTTATCCTGATGTAAGACTCATTCAGAGAGTAGTTAGAAGAGAAATTACCCTACTCTCTGAAGAAATTCTACATCAGGACGAAATATCAGTATTAGGTTTTGTGTTCTTTTATTGTGCATCAATAAGCCCAAGGACTCTAATATTCTCAGATTAACTATCTGAACTATATTGCTTTAAAAAATCTAGTCATTCTCTCTACACTACATACTCACACTACTCAACAATAGTATAGTGTTGCTGAATGTGTGCAAGCTAAATTGGACAATTGACCAGACAAACTTGTTAACACAAATTGAACAAGGAAATTCTTACCAGGCTCCAGTTTTCGCTCAATTTCAGCGCAGCATGTAGGCGAAATAAGCAAAGTTAGTGAACATCTAATTTAAATAGCGGAGTGGACCAACATTTATAATTTAATGGTTACAAAAATGCTGTTGGGTTTCTTGCTGCTGCTAGTCACAGTTGCAGTTCAAGTTACACAATTAGGAAACTAGTGGGCTTTGGATTAGTAATTTGTAATTTATGTAACTATAAGATACTTAGAAATTTGCCTTAGACAATTACTTAGCAGGTCAAAATCCAATAGCTGCCACTAACTCCTTTTAACCCAATATGCTGGGGCAGGTTAGGTTAGATACACTGCATGTAGGTACCGTATTTCAAAAAATAACTTAAATATTTTTTTTTTTATAATAAAAAAGAAACAACCAACTTAACTTAATTCTGGTCTATCGAATTACTGGACTTTTGAACGTAAATAGATCAAAATAATGAATTGAATCTTATGACAAAAAGGATGCTTTAGAAGCGTGAGATTTAAAGTTTTATTCTAAAATAACAAAAACAGACAATACAGTTATTCGCCTAGTAAAACAAGCATAATATCTCCCAACCGTTACGTTACATTATTTACAAGTAACAGGAGCTGTTCCTTGACATTCCTGCACCCAGATGATTGATGATCTTACATCCCTAATTTTTATTTTTGTAAAACAGTATGAACCGAGAAGATGTTACACTACAAGCTTAACCATAGCATTTTGTATCCATACAGTTAGTTATAAATATGGGAGTTGACTTAGTTATGACAATGCGGAAAAACATAGGAAGAAAAAACTCTGTGATCAAATTGTAGCAAATTAAGACTATAGTATGTGAGTTATAATTTCTCTAACAGCCATTAAAAAAGAAAAAAAATAGTTATACTTTACAATGTACAAAACCTAAGTGGGTGGAAAGTAACTTTAAGCAATTAATAGTATATAGTTTCCGGTACTTTGGTATTATACGGACCACACCTAACGACCACTTTATTAGTTTAACCTAACCTAACCTAGGGTTGGTTAGGTTAGGTTAGATGAGTTTAGAAATATTTTTTATTAAAACTAATTTAAAATCTTATTTGGAAGTCAATTTATCGGTGTGGTTGGTATGATACCAAAGCACCTAGTTTCCTACTAAACAACGCATCTAGGCCTTCATGTATATCCAAAACTTAATGACAGATTGCTTTAATACCATGGTCTTTATCTCCCTGATCCTTTTCCTTCTTTTCTTCTTCAGCTACAAGTTCGTCCAGATCCTTCTTCTTTTTCTTTTTCTTCTTTTTGGTCGAAAAGTCCATATCAAGGGATAAACTGTCCTGTAAAAATATGAGCACACAGTTAGAATTTTCTAAAATTTAGAAGTAAATTATTTTGGTTACACTATCATCTAGAGCTCATAAAGTTTTAATTTTTCTTTCTACAATAGAATTTCATTATGTTTCAAGATCATGAATCTGACTATGGATTTTCATTTCTCTATACCACTGATTCTTGAATATTGGTTTCGGTATCTAGAATCGTTTGTCAAAAGTCGTTACCAGTCCCCAACTGTCTCCGAAGATCGCATGGTCAAAAGTTCTTGTTTTTGCCGCAATCTTGGATGATGATGATGATAAGAACCAGAGGATGATGTCTAGGGTTTAGGAGTTTTTGAGAACTAATATAGGGTAGTTATTGAATTAAATAATCTAACTACAAAAATGCTCTTCTAAACACCTGCTCTTGTTATCCAAAACAAAATAAAACCTAATTGAGAGTGAAATATTTGTTGGACTAAGGCATGGTCATGATTTATCAACATCTAAAGACCCATCAAGTGACAACCGGTATGCCAAGCTGCTGCAGGAGTGTGTCTTAAACTTAGTACAGGAGAGTCAATTTAATCTTTCAACTCGCACATATACTTTTGGACAATCTGAAATCAATACGTATTGGCCTACAAATAAGTGTATACCTCAATTGCCTCCTCATTTTCTCCTCCCTCCATTCCATCTTCTTTCGTCTTGCCAGTGGTGTCTGGCAGGGCTCCATCGAGTTCTTCTAAATTAAACGCCTTCTTTTTCTTTTTTTTCTTCCTTCCAAAATTGTCTAGATCTAAGTTATCTGAAAACAGACACAACACCAAATTGATTAGTTATATCGGAATAAAAACAGAAATAGAATGATGGGATGGATTTTATATTGGACGCTGAATAAGACATCCAATCTATATAGACCAGCTGTCAACATTTTTAGCGAATTTCCCTATAGGGAAGTAGCTATTATCGTAGGTGGCAGGGTAAGACCTAGACCCGGGATTGATAATAGTTTTTAATTTTGATGTCCCTAGAGGCTAAAAACACTATTCGTTCTAATTTGTATATATATTATATATACGTCCGTGAACACAATAACTTGAGTAGCCTAATTTTTCTCAGATTTTTTTAAAATTTGGCTTAGAGGTGTAGGGCAAGATATAGGCCTACTTGAATGGGTTCGCAAATCATCATGATCGGAATAGGCCTATGGCAACGGGGTGTTATGGGGGGTTTTATGGGATAAAAATTGGTTTTTTTTTTTTTTACGGCTCAAAACATAAGATTTCCCAATTTCTCTTGAGACCTTTTTAAGAGCTTAGAAAAGACAAATAATGTAGTATATTGAAGTGTTATTATAAATACAGTTATGTTATTGGTTACAAAAAAATTCAATAAATAGTAAATTTAAAATTCCCATGTATTTCTTATGGAGAATAAGTTATGGGGATAGTTCGATAGTCGTAGTTCATAAGTTGTCATAGTTCGATTGTTTTTGGATATATTTTGATCAAACTTGACAAATTTATTTAGGTACGGTAAGCTATTCATATTTTACTAAAAAAAACACACTTTATTACCCTCCCTTTAGCAGCAAACCTAGGTACTTGTTTAACCTAACGTTATTTAAATAGATTTAATCGAAAATCCAATCAGGTAAATAGAAATGCGCTCAGTCTGAAGGTTTGTTGCGGCAAGGGTATTTATTTCATTAACACGTTCGCTGCTGACCGCTAGATGCCGGTACGACGCCAGGAGCTGAACTAACGCTTGCCGCTGCGTAAACATTGCTGCCGATACACTGAATTACAGTAAAAACAACAGTAGTTGTACTGGATGGCAATGTTCTGCAATAAAACTGGCTTTGGACATAGTACTAAGTGATTCAGATGGATAGCAACACTAGCCAGGTTGCAGTCGGTAAAGTAGTGTCGCTATCTAGCAGGAAAGAGGTGGGACAAAGCCCTGTTCTAAACGACCCTGGTGGTGATTTTGGGAGAATATATTTTTTATTGTCAGAAAAGTACGTCCCCACGAGCTGCAAAGACATATAGGACGCTCGTGACGAGCTGGCTGATCCATGGTAACGTTAAACATCAATGAACGGTGTGGTTCCGGAACGTTCCTAGCTCCTGGCGCCGTGGTCCATTTGATGTTGTGGCCCGTTTGACGTTCCGGAACGTCTGTAGCGAACGTGTTAAAAGAAAATATACTAGTCTATAGTTGTGTGAGACAGTCACAGAATGTGCTAAAGTATCTAAAATTCTATTTTCTAAAGCCTATTAATTTTTTTTGTTAACCAAGTTGATTGGTTATTTAAGCTATAACAGTTGCTTTAACTCACAATAAGTTATTTATTTAGTTTGATTTGATAAAAACTTTGTGTATTCGACAGAAGCTAGTAATTTAGATCAGTACAATCTGTTGGTGACTGATGAAAAAAAAAAACTCACAACAAATTGAGATGGATGTTTTAAAGTTGTACCAGTAGGCCTAGATACCTACTAATACAACTATACCAATATCTCATTTTGTTGTTAAAGATTTAAGTTATCGGTATGCCTACTAGAACAAATGTTTCCGTGTGGGATGAAAAAAAAACCAAAGTCAGGAAAAGATAGATAGGCCTATGTTGTATTAAATGTTCTAGACTACGGTAGGTACCTTATAAAACCTAGGAGAAAGTACAAACTTGAATTTTAACAATTTGAGTCATAGCTAATAAAAGACCATGTCAACAGGATTTTATGTCTAATCAACTGTAGACAAATATCGTGCAACTTGTGTTAAAACTTTGTTTTAAAACTAAATAGAATCTGACATAGGCCTACACTAAGCCTGCCATTAATAGACTAATGAATAACTTTTCTCCTGTTTAAAACGATGCTCAAGAGTGTTGTTGCTATCGCTAAAGACGATCACCAATGTCACCAAGACCACAATATATGGTCACTGGTGTTACCGTACTACAATATCAGGATAGGAGAGTGTCAAAAATAGTAAACACAAAAAAATAAATTGAAAAGTTAAAACATCGTATCTTGTTGTTACTGTCAATGACCGATTCCCAAATAACATAAGATAATAGACAAGTCAACGTTTATGAGACAACCATAGGCTCAGGTATTTAGGGGGGAGGGGATATAAGAGCAAGGAAGAGTGGGGAACGGCAAGCACTGTGTGGAAATTCCTACCACACGGGGCTCAGGGTCTTCCTTCACCGTGAACGTTGTGGAGTGCATGAGGCAAGGAGGGCGGTGCGTAACTTTGCCCTAGAAACCACCACTAGTGCTACACTAGACACCACTTGAGTGTATCGTTGAATCCTCTGCTCCTTACTTCTCTGGGATTAAAAGGTGAACAACTTAAGGTATTTTAATATAGGCTACAGCCTTGGCCAATTTCAATGATTGTTTTGTTGACCTGCTAAATTTAGAAAACAAGAAAACATTAATTTTGAACCATACCATCGATGTCCATGTCCTCAGTCTTGGCTGGTTCCATGTTCTCCTTGTCCGTAGCACTGGCATCAGCACCATCCCCATCTACACCACCAGTTCCCTCTGCCATGGCTGACTCAATATCAAATGTGGTCTTCTTTTTCTTCTTCTTCTTTTTGAGAGAAGGATCAAAAATCTGAAAACAGCAACACAATTATTAGGGGTATACGTAAGTTAAGTTACTTATTTTTAAAACAACAAGTTATCTTGTAACGTGAGAAATTTTTAGGATTTTGAGGAACGGTAGCAGGCTTAACTTACCTGAATTGGAAAGAGCCCTTAGTAATTAGCACAAGAAACATGAAACATTGGACTATTAAGTTAAACTTTATTTAGCCTCCCAGTACCCTACCTAACGCAACTTAGTTAAGTGTTGTGCTTCTTGTTTCAGTTTGAACACTTTCCCATGCAGGTAGGCCTAAGCCTGCTATTCTCACTAAAAACTTAGGTCCTTGTGCTTTGTGATTGTACTTTTTTACGAGGAAATTGTAGTACCGTATTACAATGGTTTCAAAGAGAGAAAATACTAATTAAATTCTGTAACTAAACACACTATAGAGCACTGTAAGTTAACCAATATTCTTTTCATTTGTCAGCTAAACTTCTTGTTTACACGCTGTAAACCTGGACTTTGGGGTTCGACTCATGGAGAATTCCCCATACAGGAAATGTATATATTAGCCTTGCACTGTTAATTTTAAGCGGGCCATTCCAATCATGCTCTGCAACTGAAGTTCTCATAATTTCTGTAACCTTAAAACAACAAAAGATTGAGACGATCCAACCCAAGCTACTACCATGATGTTTCCTTAGTGGCGAAAGACTAAGGAAGAAAGAAGTTAGACCACTTAGTTAACTGTTGATTATACCTAATATTTCAACAACACAGGTCAACCCCAAAATAAAGTGTGTGGTTCTAAAAAAAACTTAACTTCCAGGCTTCAACACATATGTAGGCGTACCGGTATGTGCAGATATGGCTTTCAGTTGTTTTGTAATTTAGTCTCTCTACGATGGTTGAATAGAGTTTAAAAGTATTGTTAAGTTAAGTTATTGTTAAGTATTCTTGTTGTTAAGCTTAGTTGGTATTGTTACTTGAGGCCGGTTCAAAGTGTTACACTTGACATGAAAATAAAAGCCTAAGAATTGGAAACATTTAAGTTAGCCTCAAAGTTTTGGAAAATCTTTAACTTAAAGTTGGTTAAGTTAATGAGGTCAATCAACATAGTTAGGCCCTACCTATAAGTTATTTCCCGAGTGGGAATGCTTTTGAAGCAGATAGTCTAGATAACAACAATTTTGTAGGCTACACTTTACTTGACGTCCTACAATCATTCGATTGGTTTTTTCGATTTGATATTTTCATTCGATTCTTTCATTCGATATATCGTTTGGTTAGTTAGGTTAGGTTAACCTTACCTAACTAACCAAACGATATATCGAATGAAGCAATCGATTACCTAATCGATATATCGATCGATATTTTCATTCGAATGAGTGTAGGACGTCAAGTAAAGTGCAGCCATTTTGTAGTATAAAAAATCACTTTTATTATCCCAATGTGAGGGGAAATGTTTGAAATAGGCTATCATTAAAATGACAATAAAGGTTTAGATTCAGCGGGACATTAACTTAACTTAGATGTATGAATACAAACAAAGTAATACAGTCATTTCATTACTCATTGACTGGACCTACGCCTAAAGAAAACACACGCAAAACCGCAACTTTTTATTTTGCAGTTGTGATGAGGAAAATGGATTCTAGGCCTCTTTAGATAAAAACCTAAACATGAATTATGCCATTGTGTGTGATAAAACTTACTGTGTAAGTATTAATAGGCCTTTGCCTGTGATGCTACAAAAAACCACCATATTTAATGGTTCCATATGGATAATAATAGGGCAAGTGAGGTGGCAAGTTGAAGATTCAGGACAAGATTATAAATCTAATTTTTAGACATTTGAGTCCCTTATTTAAAAATAGAACTTAATAAACTAAGAAAAATAAACACATTAGCATTTGAACTAGGGTAGGTGGACCATGTAGCCTATTAGAGGTCTGAAAAAAAAACACCAAGACTAGGCCTTAGTTAGGCCAATTACCTAAAAAGTGGACACATTAAAAATAGTCCAAGGCATAGTCCAAGTTGAAACTTGTTTTATAGATAACTTTATAAAAGTTTTAATACAGGCCTATATTTTTTTTTAAAGGCTGTGCATAAGAGTTGTAATGAAGGAAGTAGGTGTGGAGCGGTAACCCTAAAATGAGAGTTCACCAACAAAATTAACCTAATTATAAATGGTTGTAACATACCGACTCCTCTTCTGTCATTATGGAGATGTTTAATTTAAAAAGCTAAGTAAATATTCTAAATTTCTCGGTCTGAATTACAGTAGCTTATGTTGGCAAATTAACATTCATTTGATATTGACAACATCTATTGCATCAGCCAAGCAGAGTTCGAGAGAAATCGTCATCAATCGGCAGCATCGGCAGCAATCCTTGTGGTGAAGGAAGCAGACCAAATGTGAAACATGGTAGCCAAACGTTGATTTTGAGAAAATATTATCATACTAGTAATAAATATACACTAGGAGGACTTGTACGATTTCTTACGAAAAAAGATTGAACTGTCTTCTTGTATGAATACCCCATTCAGTTGATAAAATAGTTATTATATTATTAGTGAAATAAGTATAATAAAATGATACTAATTTTATGAGAATGGTTTTCATGATGATATGGATGATGGGTACCCAACAGCTGGCACAAAGTTGTTTGTCTCTTGCTCACTATTGTGAGTTTTAAAGTCTGGCTAGTTCTTAAAAATCTTATATGTTCATCTTGGGCTTTGAATAAATTATCCTTATGATAATCCTGACTTAAGAAACAGCTTATCTCAGTCAGTAACACAGCTACAGCTACACAGATCACACCCGATCACACCATTGATTCTACATTCATCCTTCGCATTCAATTTCAATATTTGGGTTAAAATACTCACCGAGGTGGCGTCCCCCTTCTAATTGCTAATGCAAATAATTGTTAATCAATGAAAAGTCTCAGTTCCCAGGATTTCACCATTATACAGAATACCGGAGCATTTGGAGTGTCGCCATAAAATGGGGGGCAGCATGAGATGATAAAAACAATATGGAAGTCGAGAAACACATTCTAACTTTAAATCCAGGTAAATGTTTCACCAGATAGGCTATATTAAAATAATGGTTTAGAGGAAAGGCTTTGGAAAATGTAAATATAGTACAGGGTGAGGTAGCACCCCGATTTTCTGTCGTTGTCACATTATAATAAAGCAACAATGAACAAACAGCTGTGTGCTTATAACATCAATCAAACTACGAAATTTTAGTAAACATTGTGCCTGGCGCTTGTAACAACACTGAGATTTTGATGTAGGAACCTATTTTTAAAATATAGTGATTCTTATGCAAACACTCAGATATTTTTTGGACCACATTCCATACTTGGTCAATATGCTGCTGTTCCAGATTGGAAAACATAATAGGGAACGGGGTAAAATTATTTGGGGGATAACAGCTTAAACCATGAAAACAATCAGTGGTTGCCGCAAAACTCTTTATACACCAGCAATAATGTTGAAAGAGTGTGAATCGCAGTAACTCTCAAAGTCCAAAGAAGTTTGCCAGAATCCTTTCATCGTTGGAAGCTTTTGTGTTGGCTCTTTGCTTTCTTTGGGGGTTCTCCCTATAAGCTACTTGAAATTTAAGGTTTTTCAAAGTTGCCCTAGAGATTTTTTTTTATTTACAAAAAACCAAAGTGATTCCTGAAGAAATGCTGGAAGGAGTATTCAATGGTACCTATTCAATGGCATTTTGAAGTGACTGAAAATTAATGTAAAGTAGGACAAGGGCGTCACTTAAAGGATTTCGTTTTCAAGAAATGGAAAAATGACTTTGTTAAGTTAAAATGGCAAAATATAAGCTGTGTTTCCATGTGCTATTGATTTGTATAGGTCAAATAGTATTGAATTTGTACTTTTGGGGCGCTTTCATTGCCTCACCCTGTATATAATTTTTATTGGTTTCAACAGAAGGTTAACATCAGGCTCAAATATCATAAGCATGAAACTACAAAGTAATGTATTTAATTACTTCACATTAACTTCACATTTACTGTCATCACATTAAAATCAGGAATAACTCTACTGTATTGTAAAAATTAGTAGGTTTAATATAAAAAGTATGTATTTTATTTAGAAAACAAGATACAATTATTCAGACTAGTTAATAACAAATTTCAATATGAAGTATTTGTCAACATTGGTGAGTTTTAAATCTTAATAACAGTCACATTGTATAATAATAAGAACATATGGTGAATGTAAATTGAATCATTGTTGACAAACTAGTGTTTCCTAGGATATAAAGGAGTTGTGGATATTTTTCAGTGAAAATAGTTTTAAATTTATAAATCTTCAAAGACCATCAGTGCCTAATACCATCATCTGCAATGGGTGGTAAGTATATTAAGTGTATATTTGATAATATTTATAGTTCTCTTTTTTGATACTAAATAAATCCATGTACCTATATGTAGGATATCAGTGATAGGTAATGTTTGATACATAAATAATTGGGACTGCTACTACACTGCAATTCCTTCCAGTTTACAAAATTGTGACTTAAAAGATGAACTAAAAAAATACTCATACTAATAAAAGTAAACGGATTGTGGATATTTATAGGCATGCACTGTGGATACGATACTCCCTGGTGTGGGTTCCGAACTAGTGAGTACTACGACTTTCCGCAGTACTATCCTGATAATTAGACCATATAATTTGTTAATACCAAGGAAAAAAGTGGTTCCGATTCCACTATAAAATGTAGGTCCCATTTATTAGCCATTAGCTGTATGGGCTATTAATTAACAGCTGTGTCTAAGAAATATGTCGGCCTTAGTCACTAACAAGACTACAAAGATCGCGCCACTCATCCTACACTCATCACCATTCATACTTGGCTTAAAATAGGTCATATAGTTCCTACCTACTTTGTATGGTCGCCACTTCATTGAAAAGTAGAAAAGTATTAAAGTATTAAACATACAATTGACTCTTTCAGCCCTAAAGATAAAATTATCTTGTTTAGTTATGCCTATAATTATACCTAATGTTTTACTTTTACCTTTAACACAAACTTCTTATGATATAAGTTTTAGGTAGACTCACACACCCAGTAAGAATAAGTCAAAATGGGCCATATATGCATGTTTAGAGGGGCAACTGATAAAAGCATGTATCTTGTTACCTTTAACCCAAGCCCCCACCAGTGGTGCTTACAGGGACCTTGGGTCTATAGGTAGTTGAGGTTGGTTGGACATATATAAGACATATTTTTTATTTACTTACCGCAAATTTAATAGCATGTACACTGCTAATCAAGATATTATTTAATAATGTGCTATCAATTACAGCTTGTTTTGGGAAGAAACCCCCTGCGGAGGAAAGTAATGGTGATCAACATGAAGGTGGAGAACAAGATCAAAGTAATTATAAACAATCTTTACTAATCCCAAAACAATTATTTGAGGCAAAGATAAAAGAGAGATGAAAGATAAAAAGATGAACTTTGGTATAGAATTTGTTTATTGTTGATAAAGTTCAATGTTGTGTTTCTAGCATAATTGAGAGAAACATTTTTTTTTAATAGGCTAACATAAAATATAACATTGGTTAAAGCACTTAAACAAACTTGAGTCTATGAACAAATCATAATTTTACAATTAATTCTTCTTTATTTTACCTAAGACTCATTGAAAATTATGAAACTACATTATTCTGTCCAAATGTAAACTGATGTGGCATAATTAATGAAAGAGTGTGAGTCGCAGTAACTCTCAAAGTCGAAAGAAGTTTGCCAGAATCCTTTCGTCGGAAGCTTTTGTGTTGGCTCTTTGCTTTCTTTGGGGGTTCTTTGGGGGTTGGGGGTTTGGGGGTATACAACAGAGATAATTTGGAATTTCATACTCTATTTTCATGGTACCAGTACCAGTAGCAAAGATCCGAATAGGGAAATTCGCTAAAAAATTACTGAGTGACCAAGGTAAAAGAGGTGGTTTTTAAAAAGGACCAGTTGTTGTTTTGTTTAAGTTCCTTTTTGTCCACACTTGCTATTCTAGTTATAGTCTTAAGTACAGTACTTATAGGAGATTTCACCCAGGGTTTTCAGTGTTGTAAATAAATATTGATTAGTGGGTGTTAACTTTTCATTAAATATCCTTAAAATCCACCAAGGTTATGGGGTTAAGCATGTAAATGTGAGAGGTAAATAAATACATCACAAATAAATCATACAATTTGGCTACCTTGGTGTGTGGAGGGGGGGGGGGGGTTGATATAACATAAACTGAAGTAAGTCATCCTAGAAACATTTATACAACTCATGGATATAGAATTCACTGCCTCCTGGCCTGTATATCAGAATTATAAGGTGGAGACATATTTGATTTTAATGGTAAAAAAAAGTATAATTACAAATTCAGTGGTTAATGTGCATTTTTATATCATTTTCTTCTATTTAACAGAGTAATATTGTTTTATTTTTGTAATGAGCTTAACTGTGACTTAGGTTTGCAACTGTTTCTTACCAAAAATAATTGATTTCAGTGAAAATTTATAATGCCTTTTGGTTTTGAAACTATGTTTCTTACTGATAATCCAACATGGCTCAAGTATGTAAGTGATTTAGTTTATTGTAAACTGTCTATTTGTTACAGTGTGTGCCGCAAAAGTCAACATCCGCCCGACTCGAGTGGCGACACCGTACCTAACTTGGTGGCGGTGGATGCAGATCATGACTCCGCAGTTGCAGCCAAACTGTTCCTCAGCCTCCTAGAAATTCCAGCCATGAAATTAATGCAGACACAGTTAAATTATTGTTAATCAATTGCTGAGTGAGATTAATGCCTGTTATTAAAAATTATCGTCTCAAACACTTTTTAGTTTCTATTTTAGATAAGAATCTACAACAATAATGAGATCTTAAAGGTAAATCAATGGTCACTTGGATAAATCCACTTGGTTCAAGTAATGGTGGATAAAAAATGGAACACTCTAAACCAAGTGCTGATCTTTAAAGTGCTGTTGCACCATTTTATTGTAAGTATACAGCCTGACTGCGAACTTGTGATGTACTCTAATCTTCCAGCGCGGAAATGCTCACAACATCAGCTAGGAAAAACAGGCTGCTTATTTAGTATACAAGACCTTCAGAAAAGCAAGAATAGGAATGTTGTTCCCACACATTCCCGTTTCATTACACCTCCCTGTGGGAAATGTGGGAGGTGTATCAAGGATTTTTAGTAAAAAAATTAACCATTAATTTTTAGTAATTTCTAACATTGTTTCTTATGCTTTCTTCATCATCTTTGAGGCTCTTAGTGGTCTAGGAGGTTTGACAGAGCCTGCAAAATCTGAGTTTGAACAATAACTGATACGGTTATTACTTATTACCTGCTCACAGAAACTGAGAAACAGAGTACTGTATGAAAAATGTTTTTGACAAAATATATCCAAAACTCATCAAATCTTTTACGGTAACTGTTTTTGCCTAAAATTCCATATCATAAATTAATTGACATTGGATGATTGATGATTATTGGTTTGACTTTGACTGATGGTTGGTTACTTTCCATAACTTATAAGCATGTTACAGATCTTAGTGGAAAAGTTACTGTAATGTCAAAACTAAGCTGTCAAACATTTCATGGTCCATCTAGTTTTGTCATAATGTGGCGTGTGTCTACGACTCTAGTTGAAGTAAATGTGGATAAACTATGTGATGAAGGTCGATGATTACCTCCATCTTGTCTGGCTATGATTCTTCTGCTGCTAAATTGCAATTATATGAAATAAAAATTGACTTGCTGCTTTCACAATCACTATATTAGTACAACTTTTGTATGAGAACACAATTAATGTGGCTTATTTCTAACAAAACATGAATGGACCATGAGTTTTGTATGAGTGGATCATGTTCACTTTCTCCATTCTTAAACAGTATGGAGAAAGTATCGTTTTTGTCAAAATTTTTGAGTTTAAGTTTTGACTGTTGAGTGGATTTGTTTTGATTGGAAAAAGTAGTTTTTGAAGTGATGTATGTGTGTGTGGGTGTGTGTGGAACTAACTAGGTGGCGATCGCATAGGCATCCACAAAATTGAGCGGAGTCATCAAAGCTTTATATTATATTGTTTTCGTCATACTGCAGTAAAAACAGTCGTTTTTAATGCATGCGTTGCGGGTCTAAAGGAGCATTTTTACTCTTTAGGAAGTAAAAATAGTTTTTAGCCTCTATGGACTAAAAATCAGCTGTTGTCAACTCAGTTGTAATTTTCGATTGTAACGATTGAATGTATCGAAAATATGTATAGATTCGTGCTTAAAAATCATTTTAACCTATAGTCTAGACAGTCTCTTCCCATAGCATTTTAGCATTGCAGATACATTAATCCATTCCCACACTCAACACTGCTCACCTTTACTACTTCCTTCACAATTTCCTACGCCATAGACCCGTTTCCTTCCCTTCTCATAGCATTTAAGTATTACAAAAACATTTATCTAACTGCCCAAAAGGTTCCCCCACTCTGCACCGCCAGCCTTTACTACTTCCTTCACCACTTCCTACGTCGTCGGTCCTGTTTCCTTACCTTCATTTTAGGATTGAAGATACATTAATCTTACTGCCACAGACGGTTCTCACTCAATGCTCATACTTTACTACTTCCCAAGCCACTTCCTACGTGGACCTGTTTTCATCACTTTCCATAGCATTTTAGTATTTTAGATACATTAGTCTAATTGCCACATACATTCCCCACACTCCGCACTGCTAGCCTTTACTACTTCTTTCACCATTTCTTATGTCGTGAGCATGCTTCCATCCCTTCTCATAGCATTTCAGCATTGCAGATACATTAACCCAACTGCTACAAACGGTTTCCTGTTCCCACTCTCCACACTGCTCACCTTTCTACTTTATTCACCTCTTCCTACGTCGTGGGCCTGTTTCCCTCTCTTCCCATAGCATTTTATGATTGTAGATACCTTAATCTAATCGTCATAAACAGTTCCCACACTTCGGACAGCTCGCCTTGACTACTTCCTTCACCACTTCCTACGTCACGGACCTGTTTCCCTCCCTTCCCTTAGCATTATTGGATTGCAAATACCTTAAACTATTGGTCATAAACAGATCCCATACTCCGATCAACTCGCCTTTACTACTTCCTTCACCACTTCCTACGTCACGGACCTGTTTCCCTCCCTTCCCATAGCATTTTAGGATTGTAGTGTAGATACCTTAATCTAATCATCATAGACAGTTTCCACACTCCGGACAGCTCGCCTTGACGACTTCCTTCACCACTTCCTACATCGCAGACCTGTTTCCCTCCCTTCCCATAGCATTTTAGGATTGTGGATACCTTAATCTAATCGTCATAGACAATTTCCACACTCCGGACAGCTTGCCTTGACTACTTTCTTCGCCACTTTCTACGTCGCAGACCTGTTTTCCTCCCTTCCCATAGCATTTTAGGATTGCAGATCCCTTAATCTAATCGTCTTAAACAGTTCCAACACTCCGGACTGCTCGCCTTTACTACTTCCTTTACCACTTCCTACGTCACGGACCTGTTTCCCTCCCTTCCCTTAGCATTATTGGATTGCAAATACCTTAATCTAATGGTCATAAACAGATTCCACACCCGAACAGCTCGCCTTTACTACTTCCTTCACCACTTCCTACGTCACGGACCTGTTTCCCTCCCTTCCCTTAGCATTTTAGGATTGCAGATCCCTTAATCTAATGGTCATAAACAGATTCCACACCCGAACAGCTCGCCTTTACTACTTCCTTCACCACTTCCTACGTCACGGACCTGTTTCCCTCCCTTCCCATAGCATTTTAGGAATGCAGATACCTTAATCTCATCGTCATAAACAGTTTCCACACTCCAGACTGTTCACCTTACTTCTTCCTACGTCACGGACCTCAAGCTAGTGTCGTAATTTGATTATAATTATGATCCATACCGTTTCTGTTCTAACATCTGTGGAATAATGCTATCAGCTATTTCTTAATCTACTGCATTCAAAATTCAACAGCTGATCATATGTTTTTGTTTATATGTCAAATACTGCTTCCATAAGGATTACATTGAAACTTTGAGACCCAGTGGGGCGGATTCCTGAGAGATTTTTTTAACGCCATATAGATGTTGGCACTCACCGATATGGTCTTTATCACCATGCAAAATTTGAAAACGATTGATTCAGCCGTCTAGGAGGAGTTTGCGTATTACGAAATGCATAAGAGTCGACGTATAAGAGCTTCGCTCAATAATTATTATCAATGATCAAGCCTGGCATACATTTTTTTTAAACAAATCAAAAAGATCTAAACCAACAATTCAAGCCAAATTTATTTGCAAAATCACAACTAGAAAATACAATTAGGTACATAAAATGGCCGGCCAATGTATCTATTTTAGGACTAAATAATGAAAAATGAGACAGATGCATATATCCATATCTACCTACCTTTTATAATATTTTAGACCTAGATCTTCTTGAACCATATAACAAAATAAGGCTTTACATTGGCTTTTAATATTATATTTAAAAATAAGGTCAATTAACATAAAATAAGTTAGGCTATGAGTTTTGAAAGTGAATTGTGTTGGCTACAGTACAATCCTAAGATGAAGATGATTAACTATTTTGCAAGAAATGTAGCATAGCGTACATCAATAATAATAGGGATCACCTGATAGTGTATCGACAAAGTAACAAAGCAATTGTTTGATTTTTTCATAATCTCTTACCAAGGGACTTTTTAATAGATTGAGAAAAATATTTATTACAAGTGGAAAAAGTAACAACAATTCAAAATTATACGAAAATCCTATGGCTTGGCTATGCTTCTAATCGTAGGAGGTAGGTAACTGGTAGACTTAGTGCTCGACCTGCGCTTTCTATCTTTTAAATATTTCCTTTTAAACAAATCGATCAGTTTCTGTTTGCTTTTGGAGTGACAAGATCTTGAACGTGGTCGACCTGGTCCTCGCTTAGACTCTTTCGGTTCACTCAAACTGTTCTTTCTGTTGTACTTCCTTTTTTCAGTTTTCACCTTTGGCGGCTTTTTATCTTTTACTTTTAGTAAATTTGTGTGTGATTTCTTCAGAGTAAGTTTTAGTGGAGAAAGGCTATCACTACACCCGTCAACTTTCCAAGTTGTTGAAGATCTACCCACAAGGTCCATTGCCTTTCTGTCTGGGTTGGTTTGTGTCTCAACCTTCCACACTCCAAATCGAGTTTTTTCCAGTGCTGCTAGTTTACTCTCCATATATTTACTGACAACAAACTCCTCACTATCCTCCTCTTCAATGTAGCTTAGTTGGTCATCTTCTTCTTCCGAGAATGTTCCGTCTGAATGCTCTTCAATTGATGCACTTTCTTGTGTCGATGACACACTTACGTTTTCGGTATCTGAAGCATCACAGTAAAACCTATTTCGGGCAATAGTTAGTTTTAACTTACCAAGTTCTTTATCTTGTGTATTCTCCATTGAACTTACACAGTGCTCGATGTTTTTAGTAGTTCTATCAGACATTTGGTCAGGACTATCATTTTCAATCAATGCGTTTTTGACAAAACTGACACTGTTTGACATGATTTCTTCCATTCTTGATTTTACTGTGCTTACCTTGGATCAACTCTACCACAGACAAGGGACTCTACCTATATCTTTTGTAAAATCGGAACAGTTTATACAGGAAATACGCTAAGGCACATATATATCCAGTACCTTTTTTATAATACTCAGATAGTTACGCTTATAAACTGGAAATAAACAAATTTAAAAGATAAATAAATAACAAAATTACACAAATTAAGTTTTTAAAGTCAACAAAAACAGCAGAATTAAAC